CTTACTCGAGATTTTCCCTGATTCTATCAATTTCTGTTTAGTATTTATATCTCTGTTTTGTATTTGGCAGGTTCACGGATTGCCCCGCTCTACTAGGTGCATCTGGGGATCTAGCTCGTCAATCTATCTTGCTAGCTCTTTCGAAATAGTATCATCGCGTCGGAAGGATTATTGGTTGAGGGTTTCGGTTGCTGAATACAAGAGTTCCCAGGTTGCTGTTTATTGGGTTTCGGTTGCTGGTCGAGAGTTTAAGGCAGTTAGTTCCTGACTCGAGACAACTCAGAGGGTTTAAGGCAGTTAGTCCTGATCCAACGAGTATAAACTCTCCGGGCATCGTATTGGCGCTTCTCTATTGCTGAGTTTCGTCGATAGTACGCTTTGGGGCACGACAAATCAACGTTTTTCGCAAGAAACTCGTATCTACCCTACAACCTTACACATCTGTGCCAAGGCTCTGTTCACAGGGGCCTGTACTCGCACAAGGAGTTGACGATTTTTTGAGTTTTGTGACTTTTCCTACTCGACATTATACATCTTTCTCTCTACGACAAGTGGAGTTTTGGTTGTTTTTGTTGGTTTGGTTAGTTAGAGAGCTCATTTGCAGTCCCCACTCCGCACTCATCAGCGCCTCCCCGCGTTGCGCACCGTGCGCATCGGATCACGCACCCTCGTCGCGCCCGCCGCTGCCGACCCCGGGGCCCTCCGGGCCTTCCTATCCGCCCACCTGGAGCTGACCCGGCTCGAGTCCAGTGGCAAGACATCGGCCCCCGGCCCGCTCATCGTCCCCCCGCTCGTCCACCCCGGCCTCGAGGAGCTGCACATGCTCGCCAAGCCCGGCGCCAATGTGCCGCTCACCGGCCTCCTCCCCGGCCTCGTCGGGCACGCCAAACCTGCGTGTCGTTGCGCTCTCCATCGACGAGGGCACCGCCGCCGCCACCGCGGCACCCCTCCTCGCCGAGCTCCACGCACTCGGCACCCGGCCGGCGGCCCGCGCGTCCCCGGGCCGGCGGCCCGCCATCCGGGACGTGCACCTGCAGCTTACACTCCTCGCGCTACCCGTGCCCACCGTCCAGGCACGCAACGTGCCTGCGCCGTGGGCCGGCACCGTGCCGTTCTTCGCAGCCGCCACAGGACTCACATGCGTGCAGCGCCTCACGCTGACTGTGCCTGCCACGCCACAGCATCACTGGGGCAAACGGCCTCCTCGCGTGGGCCGGGCGCCTCCCAATGCTGGTGCAGGTCACAATCAAGCTTGCACTGGGCATGAGGTGGTGGGATCCTGCACATACGGCAGAGTGGCATGCGATAAAAAATGGGGTGTGGAAGACAGCAATGGAGCGCCTGCCAAAGGTGAAAGACGTGGTAGTAGAGCATGTCTGATTGGCAGGGATTCTGTTCCTGCAACTTTGCAAGGCTTGAAATCAGAGTCTTGAGTCTCTACCAACTTTACCTGTTAAGATGGACATTGAGCTCATTACCCATACAGATTCCCAATAAAAGTAGAGTCTAATTTTTATCAATCAAAGTAGAGTCTAATGAAGACTGTCTATAAAACTTGTAATTACAGTGTTACTATTTCACTCATCCATTCATATAAGCTGTAGGCAGATATACCTTGGCTGTTTTACACAGATTGAGAAAGATCTACCCACATATACTTGATATTAGTGCTGGCCAAATATAATTATATTATTTTATGGGCATAATATATTATAATCATATCATATTCAGAGCTCCAACCCAATAATATATTTGTAGTATAATATAATCATATTCAGCTGTGAAATATGAATATGTTATGAATATATTCAACTATAATCTAGTATGCATATCTCTTGATATGTTTGACATATTTGCTGCTAGAAAAAGGAATCAAAAACATAAAATACATGCTGGATTGTCAGTGCAACTTCCTTTTGGGCCTCCCTGGGTTACATAGGACTCTCAAAATACAATCAGGGGCATTGTCACTAGTCTTAGGTTAGCCAGTAGATACTTGATCAGAGGTCCTACACTATGTTTAATAGGTCAACCCAAAGTGATCACTCCTGACATTTGTTCCTACTAAGGGTGATGTATGAATCACCATATATAATAGATAATATGTGACATTTATCAGAAGTAGGGCTAACTCAGACTAAGATTAGTACTATGACTGAGTACATAGACTGAGAAAATAGCTGTAATCATCTACCTTACTATAGTTGAATATTCTGCGACTATAATATAGTATAGTCATAATATAATATAATATATTCAAACATAATCATATTCAAGTGATCCACAAAGTGCATAATATATTCATAATATTCTGAATATATTCAATATTTAATCAAGCATAATATAATTCTGGCCAGCACTACTTGATATTTAATTCCTGCAAAATTGTCAATATAGATATTCAACCAACCTTATTGTATTTGTTGTGGAAGAAGTGTTAAATGCTGTGCAAAAATTAAAGGGAAGTAATAGAGGAAAGTCCAAAGGGAAACTGTTAAGTGCTGTGTCGACCAAAGGACCGGAGTCGGAGTCGGAGTCGGAAACGGAGAGCACTTGGGGGCAGAACACCACAGAAGGATGTTTGGGTGACCGGGGCTTCCAGTTGACCAAGATAAGACAAGAAGACAAGAGCGGAGTCGAGATGACGCTGGGAGATAGAGACCAGCAACGCTAATTTACAAACTAAAGTACGTAGTAATACATCAAAGTATTTATAGTATGACAAGTAACGGAAACGGAATAAGGGATAACAAAGTAAGTAACAAGATTAGAACAAAGTCAAGTAACGTAGAAGAGGAGTTGCATATGAGGAATAAGGCATAGATGATTGCATAGATCATAAGTCGGGGTAATTGGAAACGCTCAGTAAATCTTTATTGTGTAAAAACCAAATACCGGAGTCGATATCGGAGACGGATGCCAGAGTCGGCACGGATATAACAGAAACCAAGTAGCTATCACAACACTGTATTAGAGTGACACCGGAGGCATGTGCCGGGGCATCAGGCAGCCTGATGCTTAACGGGCATCAGGCGAGCACTAGGCAAGCACCAGGCCAGTTTGACATGTTGATGCCATGAGGCATTTATACGCTACATCAATAAATTATGTAGATTTTATTGGTGTTCCTATATAACTTGAAGGGATCTATAGGATACCAGTGAGAGCAATGTATTTTCTTATAATTAACACCACTGAGAGCAAACTCTGGAGTTGCTGTGAGCCTTCCTAATATACAATTCTTTGATAGAGACAAAGCAAAGGGTCAAATTGCTGCTTAGAGCAGCTGTAGTTTAAGATTGCTAGTCATACATTATATGCTAATTATGACCAGCTCAGTCATCTGAGAAAGTAAACCACTAGCAGCCTGCCTACCAGAATGCAGGAATCCCCACCAGTCCAGATGGGGAAGGCTTCAGGTCACTTCATAGACACCTATGGGTGGACCATTGCTCATAGACACCTATGGGTGGACCATTGCTCATACTAACCTATCTGGGTAAAGAGTAGATGCAATGGCCAGATTGGTATATACTACAGGTCATGTCACGGTTCGGGTCGGGCCGTCCGGGCCATAAGGTGTCAGACTGCGGGTCGGGCCGTGCAAGGACTTCTCCTAAGAACGCGCGCCCGGAACAGAACAGACGAATAGTCGGGCCCGCAAGTATGGCGGGCGGGGTAGATCGAAACCGAAAGGGCCCGTGAACTCGGTCCCTTGCCGTAGTCGGTGGTCGAAGGTTCGAATCGGGTCGTGTCGGGCCCGATGAGTCGATAGCGTCTCCTCGCACGGAGTAAGGTAGTTCTTCAGACGATCTAAGCGATAGAGTACAGGGTACACTATCGCGCATTATATACGCGGGCCCGCAAAGGGGGTGATCGGACACCCTGGCCTCTCCTCCTCCTCCTCGCTCCCGTTCCTGGCCGCAGAGGGGACGATCGCACATCCCTTGCGGGCCAGGCGCTACTCCTGACCTCCTAGCACTCCTCCCCATTCCCCTGGTGTCGAGTTGGGCTCGGCGACGGCTCGACGCGTCGTTCTCGGTCACGTGCTTCCCACGTGTGCGTTCCTCCTACTGGGGCGCATGTTCCCCGTCGTCACGTGCTGCGTGTTGCGGGCCCGCAATGGCCCGACACCAGCGCCGGAGCGGACGGGCCGGGTCTTATCCGTGACATAAGGCCGCACGGGCCTGCATGGGCCCGCATACCGCCGTCCTCCTCGACGTTCCCCCATTCTTCCAACCCCTTCCCTTCACCCCTGCGGCCCTACGCAGCGCCCATCCGATCCGCCCTGGGACCTGGCGCCCATCCGATCCATCCCTAATATCGTAGCGTATAAAAACCGTACTTACAAGATGTAGTCGCTAGGCTAATATCGTCTATTCTCCGGGCGAATACCCATCCCTCGTGCTCCTCAGACCCCTTCGAAGTCGGACCCCCCGACGCCCCGATACGGCCCGAGGGTCAAGTAGGTCTATCAAACCAAAAAAATACATTTTAAATGGACAAATAGAGTGTTTTATGGTTGGATATAGCCAAGTAATATACAGTCAAGTTGACCTTATCAATTACTGATAGTATACTTGAATGTAACTCAAGTAAAAAGGGACTTATTTGTGAATTCAGTGCTATCTAAATCTTATCTAATCAATCTAAAGCCTCATGGTTACAGCATGTCACACCCCAGAATGGCGCTTAGTGCTTGCCTGATGCCCGTTAAGCATCAGGCAGCCTGATGCCCAGGCACATGCCTCCGGTGTGAGCAATTACAGGTCTTATAGGCCCAAGGAGAAGAGAAGCGTGCGCCAGGTCACTGATCGCGATCGTGATCGTTGCGCTGGCGATAACGCGGTGCGGTCGGCCGACCGGGCCGATGGCGATGTGCTGTGATTTAGGTATTGAATTACAGTGTTGGGTATGTATGTATGTATGGGTAACAAAACAGATAGGGAAGGAGGGAGGGACACCGATCGCAATGGGACGGGACGTAGATGCTGCCAGCGTCAGACGCCCTCGCGGGCGTTAATGCTCACGGGCGCGTGACCGTCCACGTCGGCCCCAGCATCCAGATCCGGCGCCGCCTCCTGCCGCCGCTGCACACGCGCAACGTCCTCGGCGGGGGCATGTCCCGGGGCGGCCACCGGCACGGGGTGCAGCGCCTCCTCAGGATACAGCGTCCGCTTGCGCGCGACCGCGCCGTCCCCGACGATCTCGATACCCACAGCGAGCCCGATGTCGGCGACTGCGCGGCGCTCCGGACCGGCGTCCGCATCGGGCACGGCCGCAGCCAGCACGCGGCGCGCGGACATCCCGAAGACAGGCCCCGCCCCCGGGCGTGGTGTCGTCCGTGGCGGCGCCGTCGTCGTCGTCCGAGCCGTCGCGCCCGCCGAGCACATAGGCGGCCGGGGCCGGCGGGTGGTGGTGGTGGTGGTGGGGCCGCGGCCGGCGGGCGTGGTGGTGGTGGTGGGCCCGGGCGCGGGGCCGGTACGATGGAGTGCAGCGCCCCGAGCAGGTGGTCGAGGAACAGACCGGGCCGGAGCCCTTCGAGCGCCTTGAGCACGTCGGGCGGGGGGGCCGGCCGGGGCGGCGGAGGGGCGGGGATGGCCGCGGCGCGGATGAGCGCGGGGGCGAGGAGGAGGAGGCCGGCGAGGTGCGCGAAGGCGGGCATTCTGGTGGTGGTGGGTGGTGAAAGAGAGTGAACGAGTGTGGGTTGTTGGGCCTGGTGGGGGGGCGCTGGGAGGGAGGAGCCGGCGCCGGCGGTATTTATACCGGCGCATGCACGGTGGCAAGCGAGCAAGGCGAGGAATGTGAACGAGGGTGATCGACGGCTCGCATCCAGCGCCCACCGGGAGGCGAAGAGAACGCGGGTTTGCGCTTCTTGAAGGAAATTGCATCTGGCGCGTCAAAAGAACGACGGTTGTTGACAGGCTGTGAAGATCATCATCGCCGTTTGACACATCTTGACTCTGGCGTCCTATCGTGATGCTCCTCGACTCGGACAGTTGAAACCTGAAGGCCGGCGCTGTTGCCGTCGTCGAAGGTCTATTTAACAACGACAGCGACAAGCCATGGAAGCTCCCCCCTTATGTCCCCGCCGCGCCCGCTGCTCGAAATACTCCCGGTAGAGCTCTGGGAGGACATCATCCCCACTCTCTCCATGCCATGACCTGCTCTCTTTTGCCGGCGTCGCCCGCGCACTCAACGACCTCTGCATCCGGCACTACTTACTTCGCGCGGCACGGCCTGCGGCGCGACTACGCGCTCCGCGAGGCTCACACGCTGTCTCCGGAGACGCCGCTCCTCCGCGGGCTCGCGCACAGCCGCCCGCCCGCCCTGCGGCACCTCCGGATCGACTACTCCGGCATCGGCACGCATGACGGGCGGCGCGCCGAGAGCATGTCGGAGCTCCAGCTGCTGCTGCGCAACGCCGCGTGGGCAGCGCGCGTCCCGATGGCGGTGCACGTCACAATCAGGCTGGCGCTGGGCATGGTGTGGTGGGACCCCGCGCTCACTGCGGAGTGGCGTGCGCTGAAGAACGGGGTGTGGAAGAGTGCGGTCGGGCGCCTGCCGAATGTAACTGTAAGGGATGTCGTGGTGGAGCATGCATGACTCAGAGGCGGAACCTGGGTCCTGCAGACCGAGGACCGGACACCGCCCAATCTTCAAGTTGCGCGGCAGAATGGAGTTCAGAGCAATTCATTATTCGAAGCATTGTGGTATCTACATAATTTCTAGGGTATGCGCGTATTCATATTTCTGCGTCTCCAACACCTTAGAGGCCGCCGAGGACGCCCCGGAGCAGGCCGATAACAGGGCCGAGGCCCAGAACAGACGCGGTGCCGAGGATGGGGGTGAGCAGCGGGGCGGCCGCGGCGAGGAGGCCGTTCACAATCGGCGCGGCGACGCTGAGGACGGGGCACAGCGCGTACGTGACGGTCGCGAGGAGGGGCGCGACCGCGGCGGTGAGCCCGAGCTTCGCGGCGACGCCGAAGACGACACAGAGCGCGTCGAGCACGAGGCGGAAGAGCGGCGCGAGGAGCCCGGCGACGTCGGCGACGCTGAGGAGCGTGCCGTCGACCGCGACGAGGATCTCGTTCAGCGGGCGGCCCGCGAGGCCCGAGATCTCCGCGACCGCGCCGTTGAGCACGCCGACGAGCTGGTTCACGAGCGGGGTGACCTTGGCGACGAGGTCGACCTCGGCGACGGTGATCGCGGCTGCGGAGGGGAGTCAGCGTTCTGAAAATGAGTGAAGCAGAGGCACGGACAGAGCTCGACGGTGATGGGCGTGATCTTGGTGGTGAGCTCGGCGATGATGCAGGGCAGCGAGCTGACGGTGGCGGTGACGACGTCGCGGCGGTGGTGCGCGTCGGCGGCGGCGGCGGCGCTCAGGCCGACGCTGGCACCGACGGCGCCGTTGTGGGACGAGACGCCGAGTCCGACGCCGACGCCGGCACCGACGCCGAGCTCGAGCTCGACGGGAGCGGCGAGCGCGGAGGCGGCGAAGACGGAGAGGGCAGCGAGGCGGGCGAAGGCGAACATGGCTGGAATGAGTGTGGGTGGGTGGGGGCGAACGAGTGTGGGTGGGTTGGCTGGAGAGGAGGAGAAAGCAGACGAGTCTGTTGTCGTCTCCCTGCTGCCTGCCCCGTATTTATACGTGCTGGCCGTCAGGGTAGCGAGAGGTGTGTGTGGAGTCGCGCCTGATAGGCGTGCGCGGAAATGAGGAATGCAGGCCGGGCAAAGTGGAGCCCACTGCCAATTTGCGGGTGCCCCCCGAGCCCCCACCTACTCGCCCGGCCTCGCAGCCGCGGGCCCAGTGGCGCATGGCGTCACGTCGCACGCGCATCAAATGGAGCGCGACCCTGCACACCTAACGCGTCGACCGCGCCACTTCTCGCAGCCCCACTTTGTCAGGCCTTCCTTCCTGTGGAGCCCGGCACTTTCTGGCTGTGGGCGCTATTTGGGTATCTCGTCAACACGACAGGGTTCTTTCTTGCAAAATCTTTTGTCAACAAGATCGCGGGCCTCCCGTGTTCTGTTCGCCTCACCACCGATTTCTGTTTGATTACCGCCGTTATCTCTGTGCATCCTCCCGAATAGCGCGTAGGGGAGAAGGATGGCGCGAGCCCTGCCGCGGCATGCCTGGCCGGGCCGTCTGTGCTGTGCGTCAGCTGGCCCGGAAGCGACGCCTGCAAACCTTGACGCCAGGCAGGCAGAGATGACGGTTGCTGGAAGAAGCCCGCGTTGTTGACAAATTGACCGGTGGTTGATCATCTGCACGTGCACCGCCCGCCGTGCTTCTTTTCCGTAAACACCGTGATGACGCGTCCCGGTGTCGCTTCCCTGCCTCCTTACAACCTTCTTGCGCCTTCCTTCCTTCCGCCCACCGGGACCGCTGGCCTTTGAGGCGCTATCGGTGCGTGCGCGGTGTCGGGCAGTGGCGCCGGCCCGGGCCCGACCTCCCCTCCGCCGAGGCATGCGCAATCTTCGAGGACTTGCAGCCGAGGGCGGCGGAGGCAGTATGCGTGGAGCCAATTGCGGAAGAGACGCGCTCCACTTGTACAGCGGGGTGCGAAGATCGCACGGAGGAAAAAGATGGGCATTGGGCAACACAGCCGTGGGAGGTCCGGCGAGTGCCAGCCTGGGGCGACGTCCGCGGAGGGCAGACGATACGATACGCATCGCTGGCGGTGGCGGCTTGCAGTCGGACTGGATGTACGGTGAGTGCCTCCCCCCATTTGCGCTCCCCTTTGCCCTCAGTAACGCGCCTCCACCAGGCCCCACCTCGGCTGGGCGCTAATAAACTTTTTTGCGCGCTTCGCGATGCCGGTGGAGCGGGATCGATATCGCGGTCCCCTAGACGACGCTGCTCCGCTTTCTGTTGGTGCTTTACTTACCCCGCGTCGCCGGTATAAATATCCGTGTGTCTCCTCCAGCTTTCCTCACTTCGACGCTCCGTCCCACCCACCTACCCTAACAACCCACACCGTCCTTCGACACCACCCTCCTTTTTTCGTGTTACGATGCCTTCGTTCGCCCAGCTCGCTGCCGTCTCCACCCTCGCGTTCGCCGCGCTTACCGGTGCCGCCCCCGTTGCCGTCCAGCAGCGCCAGCTCGCCTCCCTCCCCGACATCCTCACCGGGCTCCTCGCTGACCTCACGCCCGTGACCGACCTCCTCAGTCAGTCATCCTTCTCCCGAAAGCAATACCTGGCTTATCCCTCTCCAGACTCCATCACCGCCTCCAACGCGACCACCGAGGTCGTCGGCCCGCTGCTCACGCAGGTCGGGGACATCGTGAACCCCGCCGTCGCGCAGATCGCCGCGCTCGCGGGCCAGCCCGTGGGCACCATCCTCGCGTCCGCCGAGGGCGTCGTCGACGCGACCGGCGTCGCCACGCTCATCCAGCCGATCCTCGCCACCACCACCGGCGCGCTCAACTCCGTCCTCGCCGTCGCCAACGCGGCCGGGGCCGGCGCCGCCCTTCAGCCGCTCCTCGCCGAGGCGGGCTCGCTGCTCAACCCTATTTTGGCCACCGCCGCCCCGCTCGTGAACGGCCTCCTCGCCGCCGCCGCGCCCGTCCTCGGCCCCGTGCTCAAGCTGACGAACGACCTCGGCCTCGGCCCCGTCCTCCAGCTCGTCGAGGGCCTCCTCTGATCGCCCGATAGCAGTGCCGGCGCACGACAGGGGGGCGCGCTGGTCCCGTTTCCGCTGTCTCGATATACCACCACCACCATTGCTCTCGTTTACAAACTCTTTGTCCTCGGCGCCCCGGCTGTGGCAGGGCGGGCCGCGCGAGTCGATTTACTTACTGCTTTGTTTACAATTTGAACTTGAACTTGTACCATGCTCTGAACTGAAAGTCGTGACCTCCAACCTGCTCACTCCTATTTCTGTGGAACCAGTCGATGAGAGTCGGGAAGACGGCCAACCGGCGATCAAGCGGAGCTTTCCAAGCCGGTCGGCGGTGATTGATTGGCGCCGGCGGGTCATCGGCCGCCGCCGCCGAATCTCGATCGTAGATGCATACTGTGAATTGTAGATGTTGCTGAAAGTGTTCGAGTTCTCTTCGGCTCGGCTCGGCGTGTGGCGCTGCTACCTGCGAGCGCGCTGTTTGACCAAGTGTGGTTGTTATCTGAGCATGCTGCCAGCGCGAGATTTTAGTATCTGCGCAGCGTATAAATGCCTGCGCGGCCGACCGGGCTGTTCATTGCACCGAGCAGCCCACACTCTCTCTGTGCCACAATGCCTGCGCTCGTCCAGCTCATCGTGCTCTTTATGCTCGGCCTGGCCGGCGTCAGCGCCGCACCGCTCAAGCTCACGGTCCGTCCGCCCGGCACTGCGCCCGCTTAATATACCCCCCCACTCACCGCACCCGCAGGGCCACGTGAACGCCGCCGGCCCCGCGCACCACCACGCGGCGCGCGCCAGCAGCCCGCCGGTGGTGGACCCCGTCGCCCTGGGCGGGAAGATAGCCGACCCACTCGGCCTCATCGGGAAGGTTATCGGGGGGCAGACCGGTAATGGCGGCCCGATCCTCGGCAAGCCTTAGACTGTGCGTTGTGGCTCGCACTGGCACTTGCTGACGTGCTTACAGCTGCTCCGCCGCGCTGACGAGGGCGCGGAGTGATGAGCTGGGAAGGAGATGCACCGCCGGAGCTGTAGTTAACGCTATATACCCAATCGTAATACCATCAAGCGGATCACACCATCACGCATCTCTCTCTCTCCTCCTCCCATCATCATCATGGCGCCCTCCTCGACGCTCGTGGCCGCCGCGCAGAACGCCGTCACGCGCGCGCTCTCGCTGCGGCCGGGCGGCACGCTCCCGCCGTTCCCGCCGCTGAGCCCCGCCTTCTGGGCCGCCTGCCCGCACCCCGCCCTCCTCGCCCGCCTCGGCGCCGCCGCCACCCAGCGCCTCGCCCGCGACCTCCTCGCCGACCTCGCCGTCTTTGCCCCGCGCGTAGAACACACCGTGCGCGCAGCGTGTCCACCATTACGTACCCTGACGTCTACAGGTGATGGTGCAGACGCTGGTGTCGGCGACGACGCTGGCGCACGTGCTCGGCGCGGCGGGGCACTGGCACGCGCGGCTGCACCCGTGGGCGGCGGACGTGGCGGCGCCGGCGCGCGACGTGCAGATGGACTGGGCCGTGTTCGTCGGCGCCCACCTCGTCTGCGACGCACACAGCGGCTACGCCCGTCTCCGGCCCTACTTCGACAACGCCCTCCGCGCACCGGCGGCGGCGGGCGTGCGGGCCGTGCGCGACGTGTATGTCCGGGATTTTAAGTGTGGAGTGGGCTGACAGTGATTGGGTGTAGGTTGGGGCCGAAACGCCAGCGCAAACCGCGGGCAAAGGCTACCACTGTATTCGAATTCCCAGACGACCATCCATCCCCTCCTCTAGATCTTGTCAGTGCTCCGACCGCGTCTCCCCCATCCTCCCCAGTCCTTTCCGACGAAGAAGAAGAAGAAGAATCGCTCAACCGCAAGATCGCCGAACTAGAAGGTTTGTTCTACTATATATGACATCGTACTCCGACAAGGTTTGACCATTCGCAGAACTCTACATTAATTACCACCTGTGTGAAGCGCCACCCCAGCAGACGGACGATGCTATGGATGTCGATGTCGATGAGCGCGTGCCGCTGGAAGGTGTGTCCCGGTGTAGCTCAACTTGAATTCCAAGTCCATGACATAACCTTCTTGCAGATCTGTCGAACGACTGGGGGCTGGCGGAGCGCGCGCCGGCGATAGAGACGCCGTGGCACCACGATATCTTTGGCGACAAAGTGCGTTCCCAATCCGCAGAGGACTACCGCTGCTCATCATTGACACCCGCTAGCGCAAGCCCGCCGTCCTCCCGACGCCGTCCAGATCCCCAGGCGCCGGCAAAGGAAAAGAAAACAAGAAGCCGTCCCCGTCCCCGTCCCCGATTCTCCGCACTGGCAGGCGTGCATGGGCCACGGGCCGGTCCCGTCCCCTGCACTATATGCATGTGCAGCCCGCCTCGAGCCCAAGCCCGCCGTCCTCGCCCGCATCCAGCAAGAACGGCAACGCAGAGTATGACTATGACGTCTCGAGCCCGCCGTCCTCGCCCGCATCCAATGAGAACGGCAACTCAGACTACGACGTCTCGAGCCCGCTGTCCTCGCCCACATTGAACAAGAACCGCAACGCCAACGCCAACGCCATCGCCCTCGTGGATACGGCGCCCCCGCCCCCGCCCACACTGTCCATCACCCGCGTGTACGCCCCGCTGCCGCGGCGGGGGCAGGACGACCTCGCGCAGTATGTCGTCGGCGGCCACGATGCCGCGCAGGTGCAGTCGGGCGTCGCGCCGGCCGCGGCCGCGGGCACGAGGAGAGAGCAGGAGTGTGTGGAGCAGTATGTGGTGCTTGCTGGGTGGGTGAGTGGAGAGGTAGACGGTGCGTAAATCGAGGAGGAATACGTATGATGTGTCGAGATAATTGGGTTGTAGAGTAGATTTGTAGTGTAGAGTGAGTGTAGCATAGCGGATAGCGTATGTAGACTGGATATAGCAACAGACTAGCCATGTAGTTTTTCGTAATGGATAGCAAAGGAAAGGAATGTCGTGTAACCGATAAACTAAGGCTTTGAACCCGAAAACGTCGAGGTTGCAAACGTCTATTGCGAGTGTAAGTAGAAAACAAAGCGGCGGTGGGGAGGTAAAACGCACCTTGTGAAACTTGAAGTAAAAGGATCCTAACTTGAGTGTAGTGGCCATTGAGGCAACGAATAGGTTGATAATGCACATCTCGGCAGCAATGCGAGCTTCGATGATCTCGAGTTTCTCGTGCCGGAAGAGCCTGCGCAGGACTGTCGAGAATTGGGAGAAATAAGCAGACGATGCGGAGAGCGAGAAGGGTGGCTTACTCACTGCAACGTTGACGAGGTCTTCGAATATGCACCAGCGGCCAAGAGGCGAAAAAGAAAAGTGCCTGGCTCGGGGGATTGTGCAGGCCCAGGCGACTATAGTTTGGCGGCTAGAGCTCATTTGTGTGGCTGTCGCCCCATTGGCTAGCCAACGATGAGGATGCGATTTCGAAGTCGGGGATATTTGTGGCGTCGAGCCTGGTCAGGACTCTGGAGATAGTCATTAGGTAGGCAGTTCGGAGAAGAACAAGGCTGTGAGACTCACAGGAGGAGTCTTCAAATGGACAATGTCGACGGGGTCGGTTGGGAGCAACCGGCACACAAAAGGCCCGAAGGCCAAAAGTTGTTTGCTTGGCGGATTGGGAAGGCCGGCAGTTTGGCGACCATCTCCTTTCCGCAGCGCTGGCTAGGCAACGATGAGGATGCGATTCCAAACTTGCGTAAGAACAAGTTAGCTCACCAGAAGATGTGTGGCAGGACTTCTTTTCCTGGTGGCCCGCGAGACAGAATGTCCTGGGGTACGTGTAAGTCGTCTTTTCGGAGCAGAAGAGGATGCGGAGCAAGAGGGGGTCAGAGTGTGAATAATGCCTCGACATGGGTGTTAAGACAGGGATAACTGAAAGAAGTACATCTCATCGTGTGGGGTGGTGGTGTAGGGAGGAGGAGTGAGACTCACGGGGCGTGTCTGAAGGTGCGGGCGGTGGCGACGCAACGGCTACGACTACGAGGAGACATGCGGGCCCTGGAGGAGGGTAAGTGGTGACGAGAACGGGTGGCGGGGTAGGCACCTTCAGCGCTTCATACGTGAAAAGTTGGCGCATGCTTGGGGCCAGAGTGAGGACTGGGGCTGGGAAGGGCGTCAGGGCTGGCTTGCGAGGAAAGTAGGGGGGAGATGCTCACATTCTCCGCGAGCAGGTCGTGGGCAGAGCGAAAAAAATTTCCATCGATCACTTCTCGTCAGTCACGCGTCACCACCGCCAAACTCCGTCGGATTCGCCCATTGCCTCGCATCCCAAGATTCCCCAACGAGGAGCCAGCCTGGGTTTATCGTTGAACCTGGGTCCGGGGCGGCTATTTCCGGCGCAGCTACTTATAAATTTAACACCCCTTATGCGGGGAAGCCCAAATTTAACGGGCTATTCCGGCGCTGCCGGCGCGGTGCCGCTCCCAGAACGGTGCCTGCCTGCTCTATCACGTCCGAAGAACTTCCGCCGGCGTACTTCCCTGCGTCAGAAATCGTCGAACCGCGGGGTTAAAAATACAGGCGAGGTATAAACGTATATCGGCCCCGGAATAGCTTGCGCGCTCCATTGGGTGGGGTCTCGGGGCGAGAGAACTTGGCGGCAGAGAGTTGACGCCTCCACAGCGGCATCGATAGCCACATCGGGCCGTGCTCGCCGACCTGGACGAGGATAAGTGTCGCACCGGCGGCTAAAAACAGGCGGACGAACTTAGCGACCAGTTCGGTCAGCCAGACAGAATCTCGGGTCGAGAGTCCCAAAACTCGTCCTTGATGATGTCGCAGTGCAGTATTACGACCGCAGGCTTGCTGGCATTGGCTTTGGCTTTGGCCTCTGGCGATGGAGAATCAGGATGCGATCCCTGCTCGGAAGGTCCAATTTGAGCGCTCCATGCGGTCGAAAACTAACCTGCTGCTCTTGCTGGCGAACAAGGACACTGCCCTTCCTGAATCTTTCATCCACAGCGTTATAGTTGACGCCGAACCTCGTGAAGAGAAGCTCATGTTTGTCTTTGGATTGTGTTCCCTGTTGCGTAAGTTGAGCGTGTTGTCCATGGGTGAAGGAACATATCGGGTTTACCTTCAAGGTGGAGTGGGCCTGAGACGTGGATTCTCCGCCTTGTTGCACCAAAGCCCAGAAGGCCGTGTTATGAAGATTGTTGATGTGTGCTGCAAAATCTCCATTTCGGTTTTGGGATGCAAGAACAGGTTGTGTACGTACTATCCGCTTGACGCCATGAAAAGTAGTCCCGCACCTCCTTTATCCCCGGGTAGAGGACGATCCTGCCATCGAATGTCGGCGGGTATTGCAGAGGTGTGTCGGGAAAGTAGGTCGACCAGCGGAAAGTCACTGAAGCGGTAAAGTGCGAGGTGAGTGTCGAAAGAATTTTGGCATGACGTCGATTATACAGCGAGGCAGACTTTTTCAATAAGAAGCTGGCCCAATAAGAAGTCAATGGATAGTGAGAATTACGGTCCCGAAACTCACCTAAATTCGTCGGATTCGCCAAATCCAAGGACGATATCTGGATATTGATCCATCAAATCTGTCGCTGCGTGATCCAGGAGCTTCAGTGCGCGCACGTCGTTGGGCTTCGCAAAGCCATGAACGTCGGAGAAGCTGACAACTTGAGTGAGCTTGAAGGCGGGCCTGCCCTTTGCCACTACATACCGATGGAAAGAATGGCCATCCAGCCGAAGCACCATGAATGTCCCCGGCAGCAAAGGATCTGGGAGCTCGAAATTGCGCACGTAGGCGAACTTCGACCCAGCCATCTGGCGTTGGTTGTGGACGTGTCTGATCAAAAGCGTTTCTTCGGACCGGCCGTTACGCAAGCCTCTTGCGTAATGTCACACGCTGCCTCTGCTCGCGCTCTCCATGACCCGATGCCCGTTTTGCGCCGTGTCTGCTGCGAGTGGCTTCAACGTCATCTGGGAGGTGCGTGCATCTGCAGCCCATGTGTGCTTCCGGGGCTTCACCGTGCAAAGGACGCCGAATTTGTCGTTTTCAAAGATAGAAAGCCAGCAGCGGCACACCATCTCCAGTTGATTCCGAAGAGGCACATAGGTGGGGCGGGGCCGACAGCGAAATGAACGCGTGACCCATCTATTTTGCCAGCTAGCGTGCGCTCCCTGACGAAGAACGATGTTGAACTCGGTGTGTGGACTCCGTTCCGAGCAGCGTCATCATGCTTCCTGTAGTGCTTACCGTTTGCGGACCAGTGCGATCGATGCAGGCTCTCGGAAACGAATTGCTCGACGGCTTGAACGTGCCACCAGCCTCGAGAGTGTAGGTGCTGTCTATTCCTTACCCTCTGCTCAAACGCGACTGACGTTTGTCAAGGATGGGATTCCACATCCCGCCATTCAACTCCGTTAGCCATCTACACCTCCATGTGCAGGGCCTGCCTTACAAACCCCTCCGCTCCCAAAAATACCATATTTCCAAAGGCTTCGGGCGTTTTTACAAGGGGTTCGGATGGTTTGTTACGGCTGACCAGACAATTCAGTCGCTTGAGCGCGACCGTTCAATCGGCGTACTGCCGTGCTGAACATTGTCAGCGTACGTACCTGCGCGCTGTTATTCTTCTTGTCGTGACCGTTCTTCTCAGACAACTAGCTGGCCTATTGGCTTCCGTTATACCTTGGGTTCTCGGCTGCCAAATACACGCAACTGCCTTCGTTTGGCGCTAGCGGCGTCAGACGAATGACCATCGCGCCGTCATGCTTCCGCGATGCGCTCAACCTTCTCCCCAAAATTATCCACTACTATCCACAAATAGACCAATATTTTCGCCCCACCGCTGGCTTCTCTTCTTTCATCGACTGGGTCAAGTGTGGCGCGTTGAGCTGCTTGCGACGGCCCTTCGAAATCATATCCTTACTAACCAGCAAGACGAATGCCTTAAGTAGTTGGGCTCCTGGTCATGCAATTCTCCAGCTCTCTGCGCCATGCTCTTGCCAGTGTTTGCATCGTGTCTCTCCGCCTTTTCTCTCGCGACACTAGTGTCTGCAGCACCTGCCGCTTCGTCCTCAGCTGCAGCGGTTCCCTCGAGCGCTTCGCAGCTGGCCTCGAGCCCCGCTGCCTCCCAGACCGTTTCTGCGCCTGAGGCCACGGCGACCGTGCCATACGCCAGTGCCGATCCCAATGCACCGATGTGGGGCCCCGATGACTCAGACACCACGCTGGCGCCAATCCGAGGCTCCCTCGGTGCGCCCATCATGGGCCCAGAGAACTACCCACTCGAGCAACAGAACCCCGATCTTCTTGCGCCGCCGACAACCGACGCCGGTAGCGTGTAAGCTCAGTCACATTATCCGCCATCTAACTCAAAAGTAAACCTCAGGAGCAACGCAAAGTGGCCGTTCTCGTTGAGCCACAACCGCATGCAGACCGGCGGGTGGGCACGGCAGGAGAACAGTGTGTTGGTTAAACTTATTGGATTTCGATCTAATCTGTGTTTAGTCGGTGTGATGCCTATTGCAACCTGTATGTGGCTTCCGCGTTTCGCGAATCCCCCCCACTCATCTAGTCGCTAGCTATGGCTTCCGTAAACATGCGACTTGAACCCGGAGCGATTCGGTGCATTTTACTGTCTTCTGCCTGGTTTTGGTTTGTTGCTGATTTCATTTGACCCTTACAGCGAGCTCCACTGGCACAAGACCTCAGAAGTGCGTTCGTTTTTCTTCCCGCCCCAGCGCCCCTGGCACTGACCTCTCCGCCCAGTGGGCATATGTCCTCAAGGCACGCGCCACCAACAACGCCCCTGTGCGGGAGCTGATATTTCTTCCCAGGGTTCGACACAGGTGACCTCCGTAGACGCGGAGGGAAGGAACTTTTTAGCAACCGTGGTATGTGCTTGTGCTTCTCCGCGTTGCCCTATCCGGGTAAAGAGAGGGCTTAATGGGGTTCTTCAGGGACCCGGTGATCTCTGGTTCTTCCCCCCTGGCATCCCACACAGTTTGCAGGCAACAAATGACAGCGCCGGCGGCTCCGAATTCATTCTCGTAAGAACAGGGCTTCGTTGATCGCGCCCCATAGATTTAATTGGTTCGCAGGTCTTTGACGACGGAGCCTTCAGCGAGGACTCGACATTCCTGGTAATTGAACAAAAAACATCATTCATCTTTGAAGCAGCTTATTCGTCTCAGTTGACCGATTGGCTTGCACACGTCCCCGCAGAAGGTGACGTAGTTCTTCTGTAATCTGCATCTGATTAGATCGCATCTAACGATCAGACAGTTATCCAGAAGAACTTCCAGGCCAACCCCGACGCGTTCTCGCACATCCCCGCGAAAGAGCTGTACATTTTCCCCAGCGGTGGGTGCTTTCAAGTCCATCGTGTTTTTTTATTTGAACTTTTCGTCAGAGCCGCCGAGCTCGGATGCGGTCGCTCCCGACAGCCCGCAGGGCCAGGTTCCCAACCCGTTCACCTTTGCGTTGTCTAAGGTCAACGGCACGAAGACAGCTGCGGGCTCCGTCAAGATCGTTGACTCGACGAGCTTCACGGTCTGTTCCGGGTACTAAAATACAACGGAAAGATGAACTCCTCTCAGGTATCGAACACCATCGCGGCGGCTGAAGTCACCGTTGAACCTGGTGCTATCCGGTAAATATCATCTGCATATGTGTGAACGGCTGCTCATACACTGTTGTTGCAGAGAGCTTCACGTGGGTCTTACACAACCTAACAGATCTAGCTTTTGAGTCCATCTTAGTGGCATCCAACGATGGATGAGTGGAGCTTCTTCATGTATGTCCTTGATCTTCATTTTATCCAAACTCGATCTAATAACGTGGACTTTGTAGCGAAGGCCAAGGTCGTGTCACTATCTTCGCATCCCAAGGAAACGCAAGGACATTCAACTATCAAGTTCGTCTCCAGCTCTAGCTCTCCTTCAGGAGTTTCTGATGTGTGCAGCCCGGCGATATCGGGTTCGTTCCAACCGCCATGGGACATTATGTGGAAAACACCGGGAACACGTACCACCTCTTTCCAGATTTAGAGCTGAACTAGTACTAATTCCCACGTCAGGACGTTGAGGTATCTCGAGATCTTCAACACGGACAAATATCAGGACATCAGTCTCAACCAGGTTAATTTCGACGATTTCCCTTCTTCATCTGTCCTGATGAAAATGTTTTCAGTGGCTTGCACTCACCCCTCCTGACCTTGTCAAGGCGCATCTGCAACTCTCGGACGAAACCATCGCCAGTCTTTCCAAGACCAAGCCCGTGGTCATCGGTCCCAAAGATGCGGCCCCGGAGTACCAGTAAGCGCAGCAGAGAATTAGCAAATGAAAGTACTACAAGATGTACACATGTATATGGTATGGTATGGACAACAACAAAAAACAATAGTACATTTTTTCCCGATTTCACGAACTCGAGCTTGATCGATGGTGGCCATGACCTGAGCGCGAACTGCTGCCGCCACCCAGGAAACTGCCCGCGGAGATGTTTCTGAAGTTGAAGCTGATCGGGGCAGGCGGCGGTACTTGTCGGTCCGTCGATGCGGCTCTGACGAAGAGCGCGCGCGGCGCTGAATAGCTCTGGACATAGGCCGGTGGCTCCCTTGTGTGCTGAACGCCGATCCGCTCCCGGTCTTCACGCCAATTTGCCGAGTCCGATCGCGAAGAACGCCGGGAAGTCGAAGTCGTAGGGCTGCTGCGGGCTTGTCGGAGTTCCCTCTCGAGTGCCTCGACCCGATGACGCAGGCTCTCAACATGGAGATCTCTCCAGTCTTCCGAGGCAACTGCAACTCCCTCAGTCTGAACGCCGGCATCAGAGTACGTGCGGATTATCTCTGGCGGTGGCGAATCCTCGCGATCGAGGCCAGTGGTATCAGTCCCTTGCGAGGAATAACGTGGCTGCTCTGGCTGTTTTGCCGGCGGAGGAGGTTGGCGCGCATGACGCCGCTTGAGTTTCACGAGCCGTGAGTCGTTCTCGGAACTCATCAGAAAACTATCTCTGCTCGGAGGAAAGGCCAGAGGGGAAGTCGGAAATTGCAGACCGGGCTCGGTCGCCGACCATGCACGACGACTGGGTTTGTCTTGGTCGTACTTCAACGCAGCAAAGGGGAGTGCGCTGGCGACGCTGCTAATAGGAGAAAATAAGAGTGGCGAAGCTTCAAATAGGTCTTGGTGCAACGACGTTGGGGAAACGGGGATGGTTATGCCCAATCGCGGCGGACGAAGGTCTACGTTAGGGGCTTTGTACGCCTGATCCGATTTGAGAGAACTGGCCGCGCCTGATGTTTCGATCGTGCCTGAAACGGATATTTCGGCCGAATGCTCGGTCCTGCCCTCCGAATCATCCTGCTCACTGAAATCGAGCAATTTGTCCTTCTGCACACTTGAAATTTCCTGGAACAGCATCGTTGATACTGCAGGATCATCTACCGCACCGCTCGATCGACGTCGCCCATCGAAATCGGTCTCCCCAAACGAGAATGCAGGTAATCGGAGAAGATCCAAATCGAGTAATGGGTTGAGCTTCGGCACACTGTCCGCTGGGGCTGTTTTCCGAATGAAGGAGCGGGCAGACGACGGAGAGACATCAGGAGATGCGGACGGAGTCGCGAGAATGCTGTCCTCGGGAGAAGAAGTATATTGCCCAGCATCGTGCCAATTGGCGTTGAGCTGGGCGGGATCCGAGTCGGTGGTGATATTCAATACAGGGAGTTGAGCACCCGCAGCTTCGCCTTCTAGGGTGCCTGACCCACTCTCAAGAATGTCGTCAGTGGCTGACTGGACATGAGATGCAGGCCCGATTTCCACATCGGCATCCACATTCCCACCCGCAGACACCACATCTTTCGACAAAAGCTCGCTATGATCCGAGCCCAAGCTCGGGTCTGGTATTGTGTCTTGGGCACGAGATGTGTTATCGGTATTTTGAGCAGGTGGTGAATCATCAGGAGGGCTGGTGCCTTGTGAAGACGCTGGTTCTTCAGTAGCCGTAACTGTAGCTGTAGCGTCAGCCGGCGGATCGTCAACGACTGGACCTGGACCGTATGGGTTGTCTGTCCAGTCACCTAATCCGGACGGCTCTCTTTCGACCTCTTCAGTAGCGGGAGCTTCCAACAGAGCCATGAATGCAGCTGTGTTTGGAGACAATACGACTGGTTTTCCATCAACATCAGAGGTGTCGGTATCGAGGGCGGTAAACTCGTCATGATCGCCTTGCGTGTGTTGGGTATGTGGCGCTTGTACTTCGTCAGAGGTAGACGAGACGTGCTCAAAAGCCGCGGCTTCGCTAGTTGAAGCTTGATTCGTGGTATCTTGGCCTGAATCGAGTTCAGGTTCAACAACCGATGTCTGTCCATCGCCGCCTTGAGCAATAGATGGAGATGGTGGTCGCACATGCGAAGAGGGGATGGAAGGGCCTTGGTTCTTGTCGCTGGGGCCATTTTCTAGGCCGGAACTTGAAGTTTCGGCACTCGCAGAGTTCGACCCATCTCCCGAATCGGAGCTAGGTTCACTATCCGGACTTGCGCTATCGTCTGATTTGGTCTGCTCATCTGTTGGTGCAGTGGTAGACGACTCTTCGGTGGATGACGTTGTGACGACGACAAGTTCTTGGGCGGAACCCGTTTCAGACCCTGTTTCGGCAAGTTGGGTGGTTCGTGCTGGCGGGGAAGGGGAAGGTTGTATTTGAGATTGGGAATTGTTCGCCGAGGATTTGGCCTCCGTTTCGTTCACCAAAGGTTCGGTACTCCCGGTAGAGCTCTCCGACACGCCTTCGGGAATCGGCTCGTAAGGCAACAGCCCCAGCTGGATGCGAGCAAGTTCGTCCTCCAGCTGGGGGTCATGGTTGGCTAATCTGCATCACGGAGTATAAGTAGCTATAAACAAGTGTTTTTTGTGTCGCCTTACCGTGAAAGCGAGGGTCGCTCCAAACCACGGAGCGCGCTGCCGGAGATGTTCAACGCTTTCGAGAATTCCGCTGTTTGTGAGGCTAGCGGATGGCGTATGTAGGATATGAAGCGTGCAATGTCGGAAGCGTCCAGGTGGGCAATCTGCAAAAAAAAACATCAACCAACCTGGAAAACCGATAGGCTTGACCACGTACCGATTGGACCTCGACAGGTGTCTTCACCGTAGGCGAAATAGGGCTCGTTGAAGCTGCATGGGCACTCAGCGATCTACCAAGTAGCATGCGAAAAACCCCGCATTACCTCGACTGTAGTCAGAGACCTGGCCATCGTCGGACACAAGATCGAAGATACCTCCAGGGATATGAAAGTGTCGTTGTCGTTGAGGGGAGAACATCGGTCGAATATTTAGCGGAATAATTGCGTGCGTCTGCTGGTGGAAGGAGCGAGAGGCTAATCCGTGGGCCACACACGAGGCTCCGGCATGTCTGCTGTGGAGATGTGAATGATCGGAGTGGTCTTCGCTGCTAGACCGGCTTGAAACCAGCGGTGGCTTTCCTCGAAATAGCTCTGCGCAATGGCCATGAAGGCTAAGGTTGAGAGATTTGTTAACGAATTGATGTCGCTTAAATCGGCAAACACTCCTATCGGCTATCGGCAAAATGAAGACCGACGTGACTGCTGTGACAGCCGAGAAATTTTCTTTGCAAGAAACCACCATCGTCAAGACTGACTCTCGCCCATGCTCTTAGCAGCTTCGCTATGAGCGGCACCCACAAAAACGCAGTGTTTTCCCTTTCGTGACTCTTTTCCGACCCACGATGTCGCCAGAAGTTCGCCCTTGGTCCATGGATCTAGCTGAGTGAGGAAGGAAGGCACGTCCCACATACTTATCGTAGCCACCTCATACTGAACACCTCCCCAGCCGCCAGCGCTTGGCTCAGCTCTGCTTGTCGCGCTTTTCTATTCCCGTGAGTATCTAACTTCTTCACTTTCATTCTTCCTCGAGCCTCGTGATGAGACGTACTTCTTTCAGTTATCCCTGTCTTAAACCCCGTGTCGAGACTTCATTCACACTCTGACCCCTCCTACTTTTCACTGCCTCCTTTTATTTTTGGTTGCTGACGAATATAGGTTACGCGAAATTTGGGCGGCAGAATTGCTTGAAATGACCGGACCGGGGAACAAGCTACGGTGCAGAGAATCAAGTATCCCGAAGGAAGGCGAGAGAGGCTGGGCGTCATATGTAGTTACATGTTGTTGCTTGAACAAATGGGACGGACCAAGTTATTCAGTGGTCACTCTGACTGCAATTCTCACTGCTAACTTGAATGAATTCTCGTGTCATTACATGTCCCTGCTACTTTGCTCGTATGTTAATAAGTCGTGAGGCCTGAGGCGTGAGCATCAATCAAGCCGATGCACACAAATTCGCCTCAAATCGCCCAGTTCCCCCAAACGAACCATGCGTCATCTGGAAGAACGCGTCAGCACTTCAGCACCAAAAAAATAACACCAGAATCCACATACCACACCACAGAAGGTCGTGTCGCCGTTTGCGTCAGGCTGTGTAATCAGCACCCGGAAAAGATTGAGACGACGCAGTTCCGTCGGATCGCTATTCCTGAATTGATTCATGTTCGAACCCACAGCGTGCTCCAGCAATTTGGAAGTTTGGCAGACTCCGGCCGGCACATTGACTTCGCGTTGCTTTTGGATAACTGGTCACCGACTGGAAGAGCCAACTTTGGAAAAAGCACACACCAATCGCCCGTCTGCGCCGGGGGTGAGGTTATTGAAAACATGAGGGAAGAATCCTCTTGTCGATGCCTTCTTCTGATCAAATGGGGGAGTCGCAACCGCCAGCGATATCGCCTTTTGCACGTTAGCCAAGGTAATTGTCGTCGTCGAGCCCGCATCATTGTTGCATTTGACGCCCCTCGTTGGTGCATTGTTTACGACGGGTGTCTAGCCCATATCCGTGAAAACAGCATAAATCGAATGGACCAAAGCTTACGCGTGGTGGGGGAGCCGGTGGAGCAGGCTGAGCCGGCGGGGCTGCGGGTTGTGCTGGTGGATTTGATGGTGGATTTGCCGGAGTAGCTTTGCCCTTGCCCTTCTTATCGTTTGCTGGGGCTGCGGGTGTTTCGGCTTTCTCGGGCGGTGCGTCGCCAGTTTCGGCTTTCGCAGGTTCTGCATCACCAGTCTTGTCTGCCGTTTCCGAAGGCGGCGCTGCGCCTCCCTGCTCTGCCGTCTCTGGAGCTGAAGCTGGAGCTGGAGCTGGAGCTGGAGCCTCTGCCGCCTTCTTCTTATCAGCTTTTGCCTTCTTGCGTTGTTGGGCTTTAGATAGTGTAGTGGAGGTTGACGGGTCGCAGGAAGTTGGCGCTCGCTTCACAAGCCCGACAAACTCCAAGAAACGTCGGGTCTTGGACTTTGCAGGCAGTGGGCAGAAATCTCCGACTGGTGCCGGTGGTGTTTTAGCAGTCGTAGGCTAAACTGAGTGAGTGGCACTATTCAAAAAAGCTACGCTGCCCTACTTTCTTAGCCACGGTTGTCTTTACCGGAGCTTTGGACGCGACAGGCTAGATAAATTGGGTTGAGATGCAGACAAGACTAGCGCCAAAAGCAGGTCACACCTTTTTTGCGACTGGTTTGGCCACGGGCTTCGTTGCAGGCTTAGTAGCCGCTTTCGACGCAATAGGCTTTATCCATAATCAATAATTAGCCAGCATTAAGAGAACAAGATTGTACCTTCTTCGCAGCAACAGATTTAGCCACAGGCTTTGCCACGGGTTTTGAGGCCTGCGGAAAAGTCTTGACATTGCTAGAATAGGGAAATCTTGAAAACACTCACAACAGCCTTCGGAGCTGCCTTCTTCGGCAAAGGCGCGGCTTTTGGCGCTGACTTTGCGACTGGTTTAGGTTGCGCAGCTGGCTTGAGCTTCACAACTGGCTTCGCAACTGGCTTCGCAACTGGCTTCGCAACTGGCTTCGGCTTTGCTACCGGTTTTGCCACAGGCTTCGGCTTCGCAACTGGTTTCGGCTTCACAATCGGCTTGGGTTTTGCCGCAACCTGCACAACAATTCCAGGTCAGCAAGCCAGACGTGGCTTTGGAATGATAAAGCTACGCACAGGTTTCTTTGCGACGGCCTTTGTCTTCCGTGCTTCGAGTGCCTGCAAACAAGAGATGAGCTATCTAAACTCCTCAGATGAGCTCCAAGCCATACACCGCTGAGGTCCTCCTCCACAATGGGCAACGGGGCCGAAAAGACGGGCTGCAGAGACAGTAACAGAGCAGCGATAAGCGAATAAGAAACTCGCATGTCGGGCAGAAAAAGAGATAGTAAACAGAGGAAGAGAAAAGTGGACCAGCCGGAAGAAGGAGAATGTCTTGCCACTAGCTAGAGAACGGGTATTTATACTGCTATGAAGCAATACAATCGGCAGTGCAAAACCCTCACCACCGCTGTTCGCCTCCCGCTGATTGTGAAACATATTGGTGACTATTTTTGAAGAAAGAGCGCCTCTCAGTCGTTGCCAAGCCCGTATTTAGTTTTGTAAGTCCGGATCGCCGAATGTTATGTTGCTTCGTAATTGAATGTCCTCGGTGAATGTTGATCTGCGGTTGAAAGGCGACCCGAAGTAAGATAATTTTGATGTTAAATTTTCAGGAAAGTGAATTATTTACACATATAAACATTATCTGTTGGTCGAGAGCGATCTTGCTATGATCTAGAGGTCTTTCAGCTTGGTTTTGGTGCAAGAAGGAACACTGACCGCAAACCGACCGCGCCATTCCATAGGTGCTCTCTCGTCTAGAGCAATCGTGTTCGCAGCATCCAAGAAAGCGGCCCTCCATTGAACAGACCGCTCATCTGCATCTCCATTCCATGTTCCATTAGGAAATTGTCCGTTCCCAGGTTGCAACATTGGCACCGCCGCCCATACAGTCTCCCAAGTTGCCCGCAGGGCCGGAGTTTCGAGAGCGCGGATAAGGGATGGACCCGAGTGATATAACAGCGTCATTGCTCCAGCGCTTGAGCCGTCAACAAACACATGCAACGCTTCCAAATGCCCGACGAGCGACCAGAAACGAATCATGCCTTCTTGCTCCTGGGTGTATGAGGCAATGTCGGAGAGATAAGTGTCATCGTTGCGGACATATTCAGCATCAGGGCCGACGCTGAACGCGAGGGGGTCATATTTGAAGCCAGGGGGGACAGGAATGTCGCTGAAACGATTTCAGACAGGTCGATGATGAGGGGCAAAAACACGCACTCCGCGATACCCCTCAGGGTGGGAAACACGACGGCATTTCCCCACGAGCGATGTGCGGACGGCGTCTTGTCCCTCTTCAGACCCTCCTCCTTAAGCAACTTGAAGAACTCGGCGATGATTAGGATATACGGCCCAGCCTGGCTGTTCTCGCGTGTAGCCGTCAGCAGCCCCGCGCATGAGTAGTAGTATAGCAGGTCCTGATGTTGCGGCTCGTTGAAGCCGCTGTCGAGAAACACCTGAGTAGCAGTTGTCTGGTGGTTGATCTTGTTTGCCACCAGGTGCTGGATGAAACTATCGATTCCGGTTGCCCATGCGTCTTGTTCCTCTTCAGAGGCGTCGGGGCCTTCGGTGTATGGATTTGGGAGGCGTGGGCTGGTCATGGGCGAGAGAGAGAAATGTTAGCGTCATGGCGAAATGGGAAGAGGCTGTGAGCACCAATCACCGTGACAACGACCGACTTGTTCAGAAATCCATCCCCTTCGAAATGTCCTGCCATCTATTCTGACTGGGCTCAGCCCTCTCTTCAGGTACATGCCATCATGTAATGCAGAATATAAGCTTGCTCGATGCTGTGGCCGCGATGTCTTGCCAAGATCACAGCCATGAATCTACGCGTCCACAGCTCTCTCTTTCTCTTTCTCCGCTCATGTTCTCCAGATTCCGCCCTCGACATGCAACTCCAGCTTCGCCAACACCAATGTTTCGGCCACCGCCACCACCAAATTACACTCCATCAGGCGGTCTTGCTGTATTGGGCCAGTTGTCTTGTCTGATACAATTACTGACTCTCTGATAGCACGAAATCTCATCAACAAGTAATGCCGAGCTGGAGGACTACGAGCTAGCAGACCGATTCTGTCGAGCCCATCCTAACGCGCTGCCTGCACGTATCTTTCCACCCGACAGTCAACACAGCGCAAACCAATGGGGCCTGGTCCCCGATCCAAACATCATATGGAGCTCTCCAGGGCTGTCTCAATCGCTTGCCAGTCTCCAATCCCTCGGGGCTGCTTCTGTCAGCATAGCTCTCGGGCAAGCCCTTTCCAACGCCACAGCGAGTAATCACCAGCTCCAACTGCTTGGATTCGATCCACAGTCACGAGCCGCACATTTCCAGAATCGCGGCGATAACTGCTTCACGAGCAACCTTCCTCTTATTCCCGGGCACTATATTTCACCCCACAAACTTGGCGTTTACTTCGAGATCACGATTCAAGAGCTGTTGGGCGATGCCACACTTGCAATGGGTTAGTACTGTGAACTTGGTCGATCAATCATAATGACACATACTTTCAAGGCATGCAATGTCTTCCATATCCTGCTCACCGCCTTCCCGGATGGCATCGTCGTAGCGCCGCCCTCCATCTTGATGACCGTCGTCTTTACTTTGAAGATTCAGAAGGCGGAATCGACTACCTCAACCCTGTAACTCAAGAGCCCAGCATCCCAGAAATCCATGCGGGCGACACCATCGGGTGCGGCTACGAATTCAAGCGCACCGGCGTAGGCCGCCTATTCTACACATTCAACGGCCGCCCCCTCTCGACCGCATTTCCCGGAATATTCGACCGCACCCGCGACGACGGACGGGAGATGGATGTGTTCGCTGCGGTGGGCGTGACAAACGGCCCCTGCGCGTTTCAGGTGAATTTCGGCGGGGAAGAGTTTCAGTGGAAGGGCGATGGAAGCCAACGCTGGAGTCCTCATATGTGGACCGTGGAGGGCATCCTTCAACAGCTTGGAGATCGTCCTCCGCGCTACGATATGTACCAGATCGAACGCAGTCTAGCCGCCCCTAATTCGTAATTTGAAATGTATGACGTCGTCATATATAAGAGTGATTCACTTCTATCCTCTTTCGCTTCTCCCCACCATGATTACTGTTCGTCCGTTCATTATTGCTCGTCACACAGTACACTGATGTCCCACCCAAGACCACCCAAGTCCCTGTTATGAACAACTCTTGCGGCAACGCGAGCTGCAACTGTGGCGCAACGTGAGTGCTCACTACTAGCACGAGTTGAACGTCGAACTCATCGCCATCCTGTAGATGTGCCTGCAAGCCTGGAGAGTGCAAATGTTAATTTTTGACCTGGCCTGGAATATGCAGCCTTGTAAACAGATCCAATTACAGTTCTTTTTTACCATTGTACAACAGTCGACGTCTAGCACTAATGATTACATCGGCAACATGGTACCTGGCATGTCCCCCACTCTCCTTCATATGGTAAACTTGGAGACGGTGCGCGGTGCCGCTTTATAGGAAAATCCCGCCTGTTGTCCTCCCATGATTGACCACTTGGTCTATCGGAATCGGGAAGTGCTGCGTGTTGATAAGAGCTGAGCTCGAGGCCGCTTGGTGCTACAAGCGCAGGCCACGCCCACTCGGATGCCGCCAACGTAGAGCAATCATATGCATAAGACGGATAATAGCTAGTGGTTTCCCCCTGTGGGTGGTATGCAGGTCCACCGTCGCCTCCAAGGTCGTTGTTTCGGCTGTCCGATACTCCTACCACAGACCGGATAGCGTAGTATTGACCGCACTCTGGCAAGGACCCAAAGACGAGCGGTGCAGGAGACGTCAGCAGAGATTGGTCAGCATACACAGGAGTGCAGCCAAACATTTGATAGTGGTAGTAGGCCGCCCATTCTGGTGAGGGTAACTCGACCAAGTCTAACTCAGACTCGGAACTTGAAGTTTCTGCATTTGTTGTAAGAGGTAGCGCTCCATAGATAGGTGGGGAGGACGAGGACGACGAGCAATATTCGCCTGACTGGGGCTTGCCCGGCTTGGACTCGCAGGCATCAGGGTAACAGCTTTTTTGAGATGGTTCGTTTGCGTGCAGGTCAGAGGTGCTCGATAATGGCGATTCTGAGGACCGATCGGACTGCTGGTGCTGGTCCTGTGCTGGAGGCAACGATTCAGGCAGTCGTAAAAGAATGATAGGGCCGTCTGCCAGTGCTGCTGACTCTGCGGACTTGTCAACATTCTCCAGATCGTGTTCCCTAAATTTTCGCGTTCGGCGTCGTCGTTTCGAGTTGGGGCCTGCGGGTTCAAAGCGATTCTGAGAATGATGAACAGACTCTCGATGCCGGCGCAGGCACGACTGATCAGCAGAAGCATAGGAACACCCAGGCTCGGTGCAGACATATGGCCGCTCGTTGGAGCTGTCCAGCGAGTCAGAGGAGATATGGGCCGCGACAATGCACTCACTGCCGCGCCCGGATGTGGGTGGTCATGTTGGACTTTTGGAGCGTCTGGTGTGGGCAGCCTTCGTAGGGGCACTTGGTCATACTAGCAAGAGCATGGTTTAAAAGGCGGGGAAGAAATTTGGATGCAAGAGAAGACGCACAGAGGAGCTCGTTCCTCCGGAGGCAAATGGAGCCGCTGGTGCCGCTCAAGATCACATAAACGAGCGAAACTCCGTTCGCATTGGCCGCATTGGGCGAATAATTTGGGGTCAGGCGGGGCCTTGCCACCCTGTATACAAAACTTGTTAGCCTGTGCCTGCAATGGACAATACGAAACTTACAACCCGGGCGCCAGCACGCCGGCGGGCTCGACTATTAGCAGCCGAACTCTTTTTCTTGGAGGCGCGAGGCATTGAGAAGGGAGTCAACGATGCGGGGGGATGAGAGGGAAGAGAGAGAGGAAAACCCAGATGCATCAACAGCCCCGCCATTTTGTTCCAACAATCCATCTACGCGGATTGCCTCGACGAATTGCCATAAAAAGAGCACCGTTTAGACAGGCTGTCGAACGGAGAATATCCATTGCAGGTAAGAATTTGCGTGACTCCGAGTGGCGCGCCCAGTTTTCCGGGAAGCGCGAGAATGTGATGATGGAGACAAAGCAAGCAAAGAACAAGGCACGCCAAAACCGGGTGGAGGCCGGATTTCCATTGATTTTTTCCCGTAAAAGTGTTCGCGACGGCGAAGGGGTTCAGAGGAGCAATAAGAAGAACTTATTTACAGGAGCGCTCGAGCCTATAGACAAACCCGCACCTGTTTCTTGAAGTAGCAGAGAGTAGCTTGAAGTAAAATGACATTTGCTAGTCAGAAACTGATTTATACTACGTGCCAAGATTGTCTTCAGCAGCTACCCCGGGGTTTGCAAGGGGCCAAGGGCTCAAAAGCTCCCTCTACGAGATCGTGAATGGGTGGAAGGGGAAGATGGATGCCGACATTTCCAAGACTAGTTCCGATTTGTTCCGACATCGCTTGTCAAGAAACGGTCAAGTCCAAATTGAAACATAGTGTTTGCAGAGCCAAATGACATATATAGCAGACGTATCGGATACAAAGCAGGACAAGTAATCAAAGTACATGAAAACTTAGGCCTTTTTTGGCTATCTTGGATCATTTTTAGAGCACTCAGCTTTGAATGAATCATAGTCTGTTCCGTGCACATCTGAAGCAAACCGCTATGCCGCAATTTCCGCACAGCTGTAGAAAAGTTAGTGTCCTCTTGAATGTCTGAGCAAAAGTGCCCACCATTAGATAGATTGGGAGTGTGTCATGACATTCCTCGCACCGCCCTCCCCCTGCCCTTCTTCCCCAATTATGCCCATTAGCACAGTCGTGGGCATATCGCAAACGTTCCACACGCTCTTGTACCCTGGCTTCGAATCTTTCTGGTGCAATTACTCTTGCACGAGCACCCATCTCCCGCTCGACCCGTTGTGCCGCCGTGTCGAGCAACCTCTGCTCCTCCCACTGCGGGCATTGGCAGTTCTTCCACCGTACAGCACAAACATAACAAAACTCGGTGCGACATCGACAAGTCATGTGGAAGCAACCTTGATGAAGCTCGATGATGTTAGCGCAGCCAGGACACGTCTGCCAGCCCTCGGTACGAGCCAGTTCCTTGACTTCCTCCAGAGTAGCATTTCCGCCGCAAATTTCTCCAGGATGGTCAACCTCTTTGCACAAAACGCAAATTTCCGTATCGCAGGCTCGACAATGGCATGTGTTAGAGGGCTGAGTCGCGGTGGACCCTATGAATGCGGAACATGTCGATGTAGGACAGTAGAGTCGCTCTCCCGCTGGTGTGGCAAATTCGTTAACCTTGCGCCGAAATTGAAGCGCGAGACGCAATGGAAGCCGTGCGAACACGCCACGAGGGCCATCCATGAGCATTACTTGGCGGCAACATTGAAGTGGGTAGAGAGTTTCGTCACCAATGCAGGTTTTGGTGAGAGATGTAAGGCATTGTGTGCAATAGAAATGGCCACACGTGGATTCGAAAGGAAACTGAGCATGAATTGAGTCATGACAAATTATGCAGGAGAGACTGTCCAGAGGTGAGCCAATATTATATCACCAGCTCAAAAATCAACTGACCGCTTTCTAGGAGCTCGACGACCACGAGCATTAATCCACGGGCCAGAGTTCGTGGCTGGTGAAAGGGGTGCCGGTTGAATGTCTTCTCGTGCTTCTTCCTCTGAATCTTCTTCCGTGTCCTCCTCATGCTCATCTGAGCTGATATTTTCAGGAGCAGTAGAAGCATCCACGATATCACGGCTGTCATATAAAGCCCGTCAATAATATTCGCGCGCGCAAGTGCCTCAAAACTTGCCTCAATGCCACAAACTCGGGGTCCTCCATTAGCCTCTGAACCTCTGACTGTTCTGGTAAAGCAGATCCATCGTTCAACGCTTGGGCATATCGATGGTCATCCAATGCGCCTTCTTCGATGGTCGACAAAACGGCCAAAACGGGCTGGTCGAGCTCGAGCGCATTATCGAGGCTCCTGGCCATCTCCAGATCGCTGAGATATTGGATGGTACGCATCGTCTCCTCCTCCAATGTCCGCAAAGCATACTCCTCGTTGGAAGCTCTACGCTGGATGACCCCGATATCCTCGAGGAAAAGCTGGGAGATGAGGGTCGCGGATGCTTCATCGACATCTGAGAGCAGCGCAGTCATGCTGGTGGCTAGAAGAAACCCTTCTGTCACTCAAGTGAACGAGGACTGAGAAGGGTCATATCGAGATAGACGCTGAGAGTGGGGGTAATATTAGCCCAGAACGTGGACCAAGCCGCTTATAAACACACACCCTTGATATGCGGTCTCGGCTTCATGAATTCGCGTTGGGAGTTTTCCTTGACTTTTCAAGCCAGGAATGCTGCAAAAACGCTCGAAGGCTGTATTGCTCGCATAGAGGCAAGCCAAAGACTCGGCAAGCAAAACAGCACGCTTCATCCCTTCAGACATGCTTCATACTTCCTCAGAAGAAAGTGGGGTATTCTCAGCCATGTTGCTGCTGCGAAATGACACCTCTCGGCGATGGACGAGGAGAAAGACCAGGGAGCTGACGTCAGCAGCATGACGGTCAGGTGATTTTCTTCCACCTCCCATTAACGCGCTTTTCTGTTCATATGGACATATATTATGGGCTACCTATACTATTCCGAGTCAATTCTATGAGTGTATGAGTTCCACTCCCCCCATCTATACAGAACAACGTCAGTCCAGCTCACACTGCCCTGCGACAACGGAAACGCACCCATATCCACCCGAAATGGCGTTCCACGCATCTGCGCCTGCATAATGAACGGGACCAGAGTCGAGGCTCGGAAGGTCGACGGGCGGGGTTTCACTCGGCCAAGCGTCTGGAAACGATCAGCGAACAATGTACTGTCCATGTAAGTCACTATACCAGAGGAGAATTGGGCACCAAACATCAGTCCCCAGTCAATGTCCATGTGACCATGTAGACTATGTCCTTCAATATTGCCAGAGTACTGTTCCTGCACACTTGTAGAAGGAATATGAGCATAGTGGCCGCTGGGAAGCACCGGCAAGCCTAGGGAGGACGGAGAAAACAGATGTCTAGTCATGGCCATCGACTCCTCCAATGCACGAATATGTGAGTCAGGGTTGGAGTGCCGTGGAAAGCTTGGTCCCATAGAGACACCTGTAGTTGCATACCCCAAGTCTGGCGGAGGGGCTGAAGGAATTTCGGGCCGGACTTGTTGCTGTTGTTGCAGACGCGACCTGTTGGCCGAATTGAATGCGGGGTCGAACAACGCAAATCTGACCAGTCGCAAGCTCAGGAATATCGCATCGCAGCGCCTTCCTGCAAAACGCCATCTACGATTATGTAAAAAAAAACCAGCACGACATGCGATAACATGATCGCACCGTTTCTCGTATAGCCCCAGGACCCACACACAACTCTCCAGGTCAGAAGTGGCACGCGAAAAGTCCTCTTGTGATTTAATCTTGTGACGACCGGTCAACATATTGAGAATCAATATAACTGCCGCGTCAAACAGGTTCATCTGTCAATGTTTTTATGTCAACAATAAAGCTAGTCAAATTAGCCGAGACGTACTTACAGTCAACGACGGATGGTGGATGAGTCCTTTACTGCGCTTCGCATGGCTTTCGATAACACGCACACATGAGCGAGCGGCGTTGGCACAAATGGAGAGCGATGGAGAATCGATTGGCTGTCATAAATGATCAGTGGCTAAAAAGAAAGAGAAGAAACGGCATACATTTTCTGGCTGACGAGCTATAATTGGAAGGAATGCACGGTGTAGGATTATCTGAGCTAGTCATAGTCAGCGAAACATCACGAACGAGATTCAAGTCAAGACCGACCATGATAGTAGGTTATGTGCCTAGAATTATGCATATCAACAAAAAAAGCACAAATAACGATTCATGCAGAAAAACGCACAATGTTGCGGATTGATCTAGGAATACCTGATGAGGATATCAGTTCACAGCTGCCGTGAGTACTAGCTGGCATCGCTCACTGTATTGGTTTGGGTCGCGTTCCATTTCACTGGGAAGTGCCAATCAATTGATTGTGCAGTGATGATATGCAGAAGTGGACCGTACAATGTTTCGGAAGCCCTTCCGCCCAGCTGTTAAGCGAAGAACTGTGAATGGGAGCATGAGCAGACTAAAAATTTCACAAAGACACAAAGACACCAACTCTAGATCCGCAATTTCGTCAGCAGACATTGGCTTGCGATCACGATCAGCAGCGGGGTACTGAAAGTCAAATTCAAAACGGTGCGCGGACATTTCAGAAAACCACACACAAGCTTTTCGTGAATGCGTCCAATAATCCGGGCCAACTCGATGTATGCATTCAGGAATTCAACTTCTGAAGGTACCGGTGGTGTGTTACTGTTTGTGTCGTGGAGTAGAACAATACTCTGCTCTACAGAAATGGGTGCCGGAGGTAAGAGGTCCATTCTACACACTCAGTTTGGCAATGATATTATGAGGCTGTCAAAAACGCACTTGTCCATCTGCGCCATCCACGGCCTCCCCTGAAAACAGCTCATCAACGTGTCGTACAAGCCAAGAACCCAGACGGCGCGTCGATACAGCTCAGCATCCACAGTGTCAACTCCACGACGAGTGTATCCCGCACCGGAGCGTGAATGGACCCCGGATGCTTGAGCAAAGCGGAGCCCCATGCCGGCGAGTATCCAGCATTCATCACGTGTCCCTAAGCATGAGGCAGACATGAACGATAGAGAGAGCTATTGAAGATTAATGACGTATAGATACCGAAGTAAAACATAACCAACACAAATCAGCTGTAACTGGTATAAGCTTGCGGGATGGTCTGACCAGGCGACCGCTCGCATTGGTCTGACTTGGGAGAACCATCGCCAGCCACAGCTATGCTCATCGGTTGTGCCATCGAGTAGAACACGGGAGTCATCGGAGAAGCGGCTCGCAAGAGCACAAACGGCGAGTAATACTGCTCCAAAATGAGGGTCTTTCTCATGCTTCTTCTCGGCAACACTTCTGCGGAAAGAGGGAGCATGCAGAAGGTTTAGGATGGTGTTGACCTTGGAGAAGTAAAGGTCTACAAGCGCATCGAGGAGGTCTTTCTCGGGGAAGACTTGTATAGGGAGCTTGTAGTGCTCCGAGATAGATGATTCCCACTATACTGCTTATAAGTTTCTAACGCGGACGAATGAGGCTAGACCCCACTTACAGGTTGCCGAACCCAAAACTCTTCTCGCTGCCAAGGTAGATCCAGCATTGGTCGAGTGTTTTCGGGTACGTGCTTAAGAACCGATTGCAAGAACTGAAAGCTTCGCGTGGCCCTTGTCAGCGGTACATCCTTCGATTTGGCGGACGGGAACAATGGTGCGCCATATCTTGGTTGCCTGTCACTGCTATCTGGTGGGTCGGGTTCATCATCCGACGATTCCGAATCTGAAGGCGTAGGGGTTGCGGGGGCCTTTAGTCGTGCGCCGGTGAGTGTGGCGATCTGCTCTTCCATGGACCGGGCATACTGGGCAATTTCCACCAGGATTTTGTGGGTGGCGGCAGGGTCGTTGGACGGGATATATATCGTTGAAGTAGACAGGATCTTGGCAACATGCTCTTTTGCTGAACGAACAACGGTGATTGAGGCAGTCTTATTTCCCTAGGATTCAGACGGTGGTCACATTCACAGACACTTGCTAATACGATGCTCACCTTACGGCGCGAGTGGGTACATTCTGCTTTGATATTGAGGCAGTTTGTGCAAACTCCATCCATATTCGCGCGGTCGCCTGTGGAACTTCGTGTCTGATAAGTATGAGGGATTGGAATGGCGCCCACATCGGACTACGGAAGTCGAGGTGGTCAGTAAACAGGTGTTGGACTCCGCAACCACGCACTTTTCTTCCGCCAGCATCGGTCACAGCTACCTGGAAGGCGCTTCAAACGACTCGTTGAGGACACGCGGTCGTCGAACATGGTGGTTTGTGGAGACTTTCGAGTCTCGTCTATATGCCGTTCACTTTACGCATGATCGCAGTAGAGTTGGGGCCGAGTTGGGCCGATAGTGTGGCACAGCCATCCGACTTTCCATTGACGGCGATGATCGGCACTGTCGGTGCGGCGGCGACGAAAACTTCACCCAACTTATTGCTATGCGCAGTGCTGCACTGACTGCTTTGTTTTGCTCTTGGAGTGAAGAAACTGAATGATAGCATAAACGTGGTTTCCGGCCTCCGGCAGCGCTGCAAACACACTCTAAGCCTCCCTCCATCGCCCTCGCGGATTCTGCACGCACGCCACACCCTCTAGAGGAGCGATAAATGAAGCCACGGAGCCGCTTTTTGTCCAGTCTCTTGGAATCCCATCATGTCACCTGCGCCTTCCACAAAGTCCCAAACTGACAAAATTCACCGCTACCACAAACATCGGTATGTGGTATCGTTTGCATGGGTAGCGGAACAATAACGCGGTCTTTCAAAGCTGCGCAAGCCGACGAACGCGGTGTCTGGTGCATAACCACACCAGACTCGCTGGACTTACCCCCAGCCGCTCTGCATCGCCAAGTTGTCAACTTAAAACATCCCCACCCAAGGCGGAGCCTCGTCGGGGAGCAGTTCTTGTTATATCATGTATGCCTTCCTTCCCTCTGTCGTCTTAAAAGCTCAAGGTGCACCATAGATCTCCAAATGGAGGCCGCACAGTTTGCTGCTGAGTTAGAGAAGAGCAGAGGGTTGACTAGCGACCTGGAGAGCGAATATTCAGACTCAGATGTGCCTTTTTTTTTCTTTGGAAGGTTGGATGACAATACTAATAATTGACTATAGATGACCGACCTAGAAGATGGTGTGGATCGCATGGAAGAGGGTGTGCGGAGTCTTCATCTGTGATGATACCGTTGCTGTTTATTTTATTGTCCAAGTCCTAATATTCCGAGTACTTATAGTACTTTACAAGGCAAATGATAGTTGGCTGTGAAACGCAAGAGCCTCGAAGCTTCAAGGGCAATCATTGGTTCTTCTTCGGCGCCACATACACCGGAGCCTTCTCCAGTACCGGAACCGGAAAGAATATGCCCTCGAAAATCGGCTGGTGAATGAGTGTCTCGAGATGGCGCATGAGATGTGGTATTTTCTTGCGCGCTGCAGTGTCAACATTAATTCCACAGGCACGAAGCGTCAGAGCAGCTACGTAGATATCCGCGAGTGTGATTCGCTCCCCCACGAGGAATGTGCGTGTGGCAAGGTGGGCATTGAGCGTTGTCAAGCCACGAAACTGTTGAGAGACGAAGTACGCATGTATCTGCGCTGGATTTAGTCTCCGATGTGATTTGAAGATGGTAAAATAACCGATTTTGAATATGGCGCCAGTGTTCCGTCGAGAATCTGGTCAATATTTTCTGTGTTGTCGTTTACTTCCTCGATGAGATGGACCCATTGATCGACGAGGGCAGCCTCCTGAATATTCTTCCCCAGCAGTCCTGACTCTGGTGATATCCCCGCCACTGCATTTGGTTTCATGCTTGGGGTGGTGGTCTGATCAGCAAGAGAACGAACCGTAACGGGCAATAGCTGCTGATTCAAATAGTAAGAATCCGTCATTACCCTCCCAGGCGGGTATCTTCGAGTGCGGAAATTTGACTTTGAACTCCTCCTTGTAGTTGTCTTCGTAATGCACGTAGTCCGATGGAAACTTCAACTTGATACCGCCAAACGCTGCTGTAGCTTTTATCTGAGGGTGTTTTGTTATTGAGAGAGAAAGATGATACGGGGCACGGACGACACGACCAGTGAATTGCCCAGGGGACGTCCATAATGTCCCTGCAATGTTATCGCTCATGATGGCGGAAGACAAGTGGATTGAACGCCATCATGTTATGCGAACTTCCTTGTTCAAGTTGTTAGTTCGAAAATAACAGCTACAACTTGCTTGCGCGATGAAACCAGGAGGAGCTCGTTAAACTGGAATCGGTGAGTTGAAAAAATTGTAGATGAACTCGAAGCTGGAGTCACTACTCCCTGAAGAATTTTGCACCATTCGAATCTTGATGTTCGATGGCATACAGATGGAGAGCTGGAGGCTGAGTACTGCACATGAGTTTCATTCATTGTCGCGGACCATATTATCGTTTGAGTTGAGGAACGACAACGAATTCTCGTGACATCACATCTTCCACTTCTCCACAACTTTGCCACAACTACATTCCCCGTCATGTCTGTCAATCGAGAACCCAATGGTGGTGGAGGACGCTTCCAAAGTGGATTTTGGGAGCCTGGTTTCTCCTGGTGCGTGGTTCAATGTCTTTCGGCACGAAAAACTCATTTTGGTCGCAGATTGTTGTATCAGACATGACACTCCCCACTTCCTACCCTTTCTTCGTCGCCAACGCATCTTCATCGGATCCAGACCCCCTTGCGCGGCCCGGTCGAAGGCGCACAACTCTTCTCCGCCAACCCATACTATAGACTTTTTTTGCATGCGGGCCGTACTCATGACCAAGTCCGCCCTCATGACCTGTCGCGAAGCCGACGCCAAGCGATAGGTATGTCCGCCCCCGCCAATCGTGGAGCTATATAAAACTCACATTCTTCGCAGTTCTCGACGAGACAGCATGCAACTACGAGCTCTGCTACTCACGATTCTGGCCGCTGTCGGTTCATTTGCGCAAAGCCCGGTTGTCGACCTGGGCTATGCACAGTACCGCGGTGCGGTGTCATCGGCCAACTTTGCACACTTTCTGGGCATTCGTTACGCCGCTGCACCGATAGGTCAGAATCAAATGTTTATGTCAACACCCAATAATTTTTTCAAAAGGTGACCTCCGCTTCCGGGGACCTCAGCCACCTGCAAATATTTCCGGTGTTCAAGATGCCACAACCCAACCCAACCAATGCTTCCAAAGCTCAAGCGGATTGTCGCCAACCAATCCGCTGGCCACGAGGGCTGTTGTTTCGGACGAGGATTGCTTGTTTCTGAAGTGAGCGTCGTCTGAGGTCTTTGAAGTTTCGCTAAAACACGGTCTCAAGTGTTTACTATCCCAGCGATACAGCTGGTTTACCTCCAAAAGATCTACCTGTTCTCGTTTGGATACATGGCGGAGTATATCATCTTCATTTTTCCCGACAAGCCACCAACCAATTTTTAGGGCTACCTCGGCGGTCAAGCTAGTGCTTACAATGGCGACGACATTCTCAAACAGAGTAACCGCAACTTGGTTCTCGTCATCATTCAATATCGCTTGGGAGTATTTGGTGCGGGACATCATTGGTTTTGGGGGCCTATTTTGACTGACGATTGCCAGGTTTCCTACCAGGATCTAAAGTAAAGCAGAATGGCGCCTTGAATGCTGGCCTTCGTATGTTTTTCACTCTTCTCTTGAAGTAGATGTCCCGTCCTGATATTGTTTTTCAGTTGACCAAGATGCAGCGCTCCGATGGGTCAATCGCCATGTATAGCCCAAGCTGCTCTTATATCTTGTTCTTATATGGCGCAGATCACAAAATTCGGAGGAGACCCAGCGAAGGTTACCATATGGGGAGAGTCCGCCGGTAAGTTCTGCATTCGGTCCATAAATTGTGTTCACCAGGTTCGCAGGCGCAGGCTCTGTACTGCAACAAGTGGTGGCCAACAACGGTCAGACCAAACCACAGCTCTTCCGAGGAGCTATCACCAGTTCGACTTTCCTTCCCTCACAATATAAGTACAATGACCGGATTCCGGAGGTCTGTGATGAATGTTGTTCGAATGAAGCAAATAACTCAACAAATTTTAGCTCATTTTCAGTCAAGTCGTCTCGCAACTGAAGTCAGTCGGATTTATTTTGCTCTTTTCAAAGCTCAGGGCTCATCTCCGTTCAGCTGCACTACTGCGTCTAATACTATGGCCTGTCTCCGTGCTGCCGATGCAAACGCATTGGAAACGGTAAATGATAATCTCAACCATGGTGCTTTCTGGGGAACGTTCCTCCTTGTGCCAGTTATTGACGGGACATTCATCCGACAACGACCGACATTATCTCTAGCTCAAGGGAAAGTCAACGGTGTGCGTCTCGGCTCAAAGTTTACCTCCTTTCCTGACTTTTACCCAGAAAGTGTTACTTTCCGTCACCAATACCTTCGAAGGCGATGTTTTCGTCGATCAAAACTCGGCAGCAATCGCCAACGCAACCCAATATGCTCTCAATCTATTCCCAGAAATCCAGCCAGCCCAAGCCGACAAAGCTGGTCGGCTATATAGCGAGCTGGGGACGCCAATTCTCCAAGAGAATGCAATTCAGGCAGAATGTGAGGAAAGCACTCGGCAGTTGATTACTAACTAATGTGCGTTAGCTATCTTCATATGTCCCACCTATTACATGCTCAACGCATTCCGGGGCCGCTCTTACAAAGCCGAATTCGCAGTCCCGCGAGGCCAGCACGGTGCCGACGTCGCCTACTATTACCCCACACTTTCCACCCCTACCTTCCAGAACCAAGCGTTCATCAACGCTTTCGCGCAAATCTTCACATCTTTCGCGATCTCTTTGAACCCCAACGTGGACGTAGACCCTGCAAATCCGACTATTACTCCGCAGTGGAAAGTGTGGATGCAGGGCTTGGGGGAGACCGAGATGCTGTTCAACAAGACGGAAACGAATGAGCCTGTGGTCCACACCATCGAAACCGGGCAAGCCTTGCTGCAACGCTGCGCGTAAGTGACCTTGATTCCCGTGCAAGAATACCTGAACTGAGGTTATGTTCCAAGATTTTGGGATAGTGTTGGCGCATTTACTGCACAGTAATTTTAAAAGAGATGGATCCTTGATCGTTGAGAGAGAGAGATGATGTTAGATGGCAGTGGTCCTAGGGCGGGCCGTTGAGCGTAAAAATTCGGGAGAAAATTTGGATCAAACGTTTTCCTGTTATCCCGAAGCACCCAAAAAAATCTGATCAAAGTCACATCATACACTATATCATCCTTTCTTTTCCTACATCCAGCTAGCACCCTGCGGTCAAGCGCTCTGTTTGAAGCAAGATAGGCTACACACGGGAGCTCTGGAACAGACGTACTTCAGTACCATGAGTTCCATCAGGGACGACAAATACCGTGACTCAGCATTCAAGCAAGAGTGAGTGGAAGAAAAAAACTTGTTTTCCAATTCAGACTTGATACTCATTCGTGATGAGGACTTATCGCGGATTTCTGTCTTTGGTGCTTGTTAGGATATGAGAAACGCGTCTGAGGTGAAGTTGTGATCCGCGCCTCCCTCTCCTCCTTCTCGCCATGTCGCGACCTTCATCGTATGTTATGTCGCTCTTATAACTGGCAGACCAGCTGATGCGACATGTAGCCCACGAAAGGACGACCCTGGCAATTCTCGCGATGCCGCACAATTCCCACTTCCTCGGTGAGTTGTAGCCTGCCTCCCTCGATGCGCGGACTGACACCGTCAAATCCAGCGCGTTTCCTTCGAAATATATGCTCCTCAACGACGACGAGTCCGGCGAGCAAGACTTGGCCGGCCACTTTTCGACCCCCAGCGCACCGAACCAAGGCGAGATCAGCAGTAAGGCGGACAGCCTTTTGCCACTGGATGCGCCACATACCCCGTTCGTTATTAGTTTTCTTGCTACTCAACGCGCTCAATGTTTCTTGTACTAGTGCTCGTTCCCGTCGCAGCGGACGCAAAAGCCTCAGGACTCCGCCTGATGTCCCGGTAATAACAACGGTTCCACAATCAGCCTTCACATTGCTACTAGCTTCCCATGCTCGAGTGAGTGTAGCTGCCATGCAAAACGCACAATTACTAATCTACCTCCGTTTCTAGTTTCCTTTGAATCCTTCCGTATTCCACCACAGCGATCTATCGAACAACCTATTTGTCCAAGCTGGAATGGCTACGTGGACAGCTCCTGCCAACGACACTGCTAAAAACTATACTCTGCCGACAACGTCACTTGCAAGTTCAGACGAGCCGGTAACATCTATTCATCGCATTCTTTTGCCGGTTCATTCTTGTTCAGGCTGAAGTCGATCAGCTTGACAGCGCACCAATGCCAGGCGCCTCAGTAGAAACGGTCCCAGAACCTCGGGCATTTGACAAAATTCTTCGCCATCAAGCCTATAAAGCTCGCATTCAAGCTCGCCGTCAAGTAAGTATACCTATTGCACCGATCAACACCCGCTCAATGAGGTTTCCAGTTTGTCACTAATTTCCACAACAACGCATTATCGAATAAAATCTTCCTCGCGGCCTTATCGGCGACGCGCGCAACTGCTACCCAGGACACCACACTATCGACAACAGGAATGATCTCGCTTTCAAGCTCAGACGAGCCGGTAAAATTTATTCGTCGTTCTGTCTCGCCTTTTCATTCTTCTCCAGGCTCAGAAACACGTGTTACCATCTTCAGGCTCGGTGGAGAGCACCCAGGACGACGGTGCAACGCCGCCAACTCGCACAGTTCGACGTCTGCCGTTATGTCCCACGATACGTGCTTATATTAATATCAGCCACGCAAACGACTCCCTACCTCTGAACCCAAGCAAGATCTCAGTCCGGTTTCGACAGAAGCGGCATCTCCAAATAAAAAGGCAACTTTTGTTATCTCCCGCGATGGCCCGCAGTTGACGTTTCTGGAGATACGACTATTGCTGACTTTTTACGACCACGCAAGTCCTACGAAGGTGTGCTCGTCACACACAACCGAACTTGCAAAGACGGCTCCGACTAGTGAAGACTCTGAATTCATCCATCTCAAACCCACGGCCACTGCTGGACCAGAGCAATCGCGACTGCTACCCTCGCCCGATACAATATTGTTTGAGCAAACCACGAACGGAGGCGTAAACGATGCTCCCGTATTGGTGAGGGCGCCGTCATCCACGGTATCATCTGATGTCAACTTCTGATTCAGGCAAGAGGACCAAGTTCGAGAAACGACGACAGCACCGCCATCACCGATGAACTCGCGATTGCAAACTTTGCCGCCTCAACCACGAATTCCGATTCAGAGTACATGGAACGTAAAGGAGTTGGGTGTACCGTCTTCGCTGCATCACCGACAAGGGTTTGTTGTTGTTTTACTTGATTACGAACTGTCTAGTTGCTGATCATATGGACAGGCCGATGTACAACGTCTTATTCGCGCCGAAGCTGAAACAGCACGAGTGACTTCCACTGTTGCTGATGCAGCGCTGGGGAATGGCCAGCGCCCACGTCTACAGGTATGTATTACACTGCCAGGCATTTCTTAAACACGGCAAACTAACTTGTTTCGTAAGACTACACACTCAAATCATTCCCGGAATTGGATTTACAAGTCAACGAGTTTGTAATCCACCCATTCGATAGTTCGATGTGCCACATAGTTGATTTGTACAATACTGGTAGTCAAGGATCAAGTTATCAGAGCCGTTCCAACTGGTGTAGTTGCTACAAAGCTAGGGTGCTGATCCCAGAAACTGGAATGTCTGATACAACTGTCGGTCGTTGCCTGCGTCTTCGCTCTCCGGTAGCTCGGCAGAAGGGAGAAAGAAGTGAGCTGTGATACGCTCTGGTGATCCTCCAACGTCTCACGCTGTTGCCCGGGTCAGCCTGAGGCCGGCGTATCCGCGCAAATCTTTTCGTTCCCTTTCCAGACAGTTTCTGAGCACAGATCGCATGTTGTAGGTCTGCAGGAGGAGGCCGATTCCATCACCAACAAGTGTGTGACTTCGAGGAAGTTCCAACTGTCATGAGCGTTAATGTGTCGTCGCATCATTGCCATAAAACACGCACTTGGAACATCAACGGTGAACGTGCTACTGGCAAGAGTGCATCACATCCTGCAGGGGGGCCAAATCCATCGCCGCGTCGATGAACGTGCCACTAACAAGAGTGAGATCGCAGTTGTCAAAGGCATAGGATCATACCGTCGTTCCTTCGGACATTGACGTTGTTGCAAAAGCTTGAAGCCACTGTCCGTAGACAGGATGGCTCAAGCGGACTGAAGGGTAATCAGATCGCAGTCGGCTACTTGAAGTTGAGCGTCACAAGGTCAACGGGCTCAAGTCGAGTCGGCGATGCGAAGCTTGGAGGCTGCGGGAAGATCAGTATAGTACCTGGCAAGCTGAGGGCTTCCCTCACCGCAACGCAGTACGATAGCCTCCCCATAGCGTCAAGTGGGTCGAAAGGCGGTCGCGAATCCAAGCAGCCTCAAAGCCACATATCAGGAATCGGCATTCGGCGGTGGTTGAAGATGGAAGGAGGAATGTCGGTGGCGACAGACTTGCCGAAGACTGAACTTAAACTGAGGTGGTTGAGAGGAAAGAAAGAAGAAAGATTGCGATGCTCTCACAATCTAGTAAGTACCGCTCTCTTTATATTTGGCCCCGGCCAATGTCAAACTTTAACGTCCCACTCTGAAACCTCCGGCGACGGCTGTCTGAATCAAGTTCTCTGATTTCCCAAAAGACTAGACTATGGTGTGCTGGGAAACAACGATAAATATGTCAAATCTTCTTCTATGAGTGGAAAGCACTTGCCACTCAGTCTCCGGTAATGAATGCTAGTCATTAACTTTCAAAATTATTCATGAACAGTGTTGTCGTGCACCGATCGTACTCGTGGACCATGTGCGGAAAGGCGGATGTTTGGGAATCAAGCCAAAACCTGGTCCAAGTTTTAAAACGAGACGTTCACCATGTGACGTCGACTCGTCACACAGATTTACTCTTTCCTCTCGACCACCAGCTGCCCTAGAACCTTAATTCCCCAAGCGCTGCGTGCCCAATCACTCGTCCAGCTCACATGGTGAGGCTAAATCTCTGAGCCATTCCAGACTTTGATCAAGCCAAGGATGTCCTCAGAGTCGTTCTTTCCTCGCTGCCACCACTCTAGGATTTACCAAGCCTACCTTCCGATTCCAGTTGTGCGTCGACACCGTTCTTCTGTCCTGTGCGTCTATCTTCATACCTCTGTGTTTCGCATATCCTTGATGCGATGCAGATTCCTTCGCCACCCATCCGTCTGTTGATCTGCGACGTACGATTTTCTGCGCTCAACACCAGCGAAATTGCACACAATTCTACCGAGTTCGCTAGAATGTGGGTTGGATGGCTGCCTTTTTGGACCCTTAGCGGGAATGGCTCAAATCCATTGCGAAGCTGTCGAATGTGGGTTCTTTCCTCTCTCTCTACATTATTTTCTGATACTTTGCAAGATGAACACCGTTCTTCCAACAAAGTGACGACTCAACCTCCCGCCAGTATCGATCTGCAACGTATGATTTGTGCTCAGAATGGCTTGTAAAGAGAGTCGCGTTACTGCACCGGGTGTCAGGTGGACCCGGGAAACCATCAGTGAGAAGCTTGAGTTTACCTCGAGTGCAGCCCCTCACGACTCTTGACTGCTTCTTTACATGCTGACATCAATGGTGTCATGGTCGGTCTTGGACTGATAATTCTGAGCTCAACATTGAGATTTTGCAGCTACGGTACAGTTGGGATGGTCTGAATGTTTGATCTTTCGCCGTCTTGGGTAGTAGTATCAAGGATCTTGTTGTAACAATAGTATCTCTTGCTCCGAGTCCAGCCACATCATCTTGAAAAGAGTGCGTTTCATAACAAAGGACAGTCGTGAAAACTAGAGGCTGAGATGTTGGCCCATTTGATTTGCAAACTTCCGACTGTTGTGCTGGAAGGCATGTTAGGACGATGATGGTGGCTGAGCCAAACTACTTGCAACATGCGACACGGAGTCTGCATTCTTCGTAGGGTTCAAAATAGATGACGACTCTTTTAGCACCAAACCCGGCTCCTCCAAGGCTTTTGTCTTGAACAGAAAAAGAGATTTAAGAGATGGTACTGTCGTAAGTTTAGCAAAACTGACCTTCTTGGAGACATCAGCTTCCAAGGCTGACGAAGCAACCCTTTTGTGTGCAGCTGTACCCATGGTCTTGGTCTCATCCTTCCCCATCACTTGCTTTGAAGTTGGCGGCTCAGATTCGTTCGCCTCTTCGTTGGCAGACTCGGAGACAGAGAGGCTGAGAGCTCTCTATTTGCAAGCTGTCTTGGGTTTGAAGAGATCCATCCGTTGCATCCTGGCAAAGTGACGCATCTTCGCAGACTTGCAAGGCATCTACTTGGTCCGCTTCGTCCGATACTTCGTCATCTGTTCGATTCTCTGCCGCATGATTAGACGCTCAGTCGACCGTACTGCGACTAAGCACCGAACCTGCTGGACTCGTGGGGTTTAAAAGATACGAGAGACTCGGTACCGAAGATGATGCAACGAGGGCAAAGCCAATCTAGTATGCTTCAGCTGTTTGCGCCGAATGGTATAAATACTGACATCGTCTTCGTCCTCGTCATTCAAGTTTGCGTCGCCGGCAAGATCCTGTGCTGCCACAACTTTTTGGTTCTCCAGAACACTACGAGGAGGCTCGGTTGGTACTCCGGGAGACGAAGACACACTATTCGTAGCTTCTGGCTGGGCCGCCAGATCAGGTGAGGTTGCCTTTGAAATTTATTGGGGATGAGCCGAGTGGATATAGTGCACACACCGTATGGTCCAGTGCCGTGATTGCTAGCGGTTGGATTGGCGTAATGGAGGCAACAGCAGTGGTTCCTTCTTCGTCCAAGGCACCGATTTCAGCTGGAGGCGTTTTTCCACGCTAAGTCGTGGTATTCAACAGATCACACGCGGCACGGTCATAGCCAATACTCACTTTCGCGTCTGCCAGCTGAGAAACAGGCGCAATGTTAGGGCGCACTGGCGGTTGATAATAGATGGACGCACATCGTAATTTCTCAGAGCACCCGCAACCACTCCTTGAGACGAAAGAGCACCAGGCGACTCTGACACAGCGGCGGGCGTGGCTAAGACTTGGATGCGAGTCGTTGGGGGACGAAGCGCGATAATAGCGTCTGTTGGATCTGCAGCTGGCCCCGAAGACCAATTGGAAGAGGAATTCGAAGAATCTGATATGGTGAACTCCTCGTCGGTATAATCGAAATCGGTGGTCTCAACACTGAACCTGGTACAGCGTTAGCCAGCAATCCAAGTACGCGATGATGGGTTCACGTCTCGTCGTTTGACATGGTTCCAGGAAAGAAAGAAAGCGGTGGCTGTGACGACGATGTCATTCCTTCTACCAAAGCAAGCATTACAACCCGAGTTAAAGATATTACACGCACAGTAGCGACAGAGGTGGTTGGAAGAGCGACAAAAGAGATGCGTGATGCGTACAATAAGTAACCTAAAAAGAGCGTGTCCAGAGTCCAGTTTATGGGTCTCCGCAATGTTTCCACATTCGCACGTAGTCCACCGCCAAGGCACGTTCCTCGAGGTTCTCCGGCCAAGTCGGTAGCCACTGTTGCTTGTTGTTGATGAAGTCGGACATGGGCTCTGTAATATCAAGTTAGCAAAAAGTAACAATAAAGGAAACAACGTACTGCCGGCGTGATTCAGCCACGGCTTATCTCCTTGACCATCCGGGAACCACCCATTCGTCCCACCGACGGCGACATTCATAATGAGATAAAAGTCTTGGTCGAACGGAGTCGCGTTGGTACCATTGACCCATGGATTTGTGACTGGTACTGGGTGACCATTGGTATCGATCGCAGTGGGCGGGTAGTCTCCGCGCTTGAAAAACGGTTCCTTGAATTGGAGGTCGAGGAGGGTATGGAGGCGTGTATCGACAGAAATACGAATCCATTTGTCGGTCCATTCCATGGTATATGTGTGGAAGTCGCTGCTAAAGACCTTGCGCTTCTCTGTCCACCACGAATACGACTTTCCGACACTGTTGAGGACTGGGATTGGGCCCCAGTTGAGGGAGCCTTGCACATAGTTGGCCCCACGATTTGTGTACTTCAGACCGTTGCCGCGACTTTCAACCAGATCGATTTCGCCCGAAGCAGGCCATGGTCCATATTTGCTGTCGACGGGAAGCATCCATATGGCGGGCCAGAGCTGAAATCATCAGTTACGCTGACAAACCAACAGAGACCACTGACCCAATCGCCAACAGGCATCTTGGCGCGTATTTCAACACGACCGTAGCGAAGTTTTCCAAGTGTGTGGGTAGAGGCATCACCCTCTATTACCCGAAATTAGTGAAAGCTTGCCAATACACGAGAAACACTAACTCTTCGCGCTGATGAAAGTACTCAGTCTAGCGCTCTGGACTGGATTGATGATGGTTCCGGCTGTCGTGTTTGTAGTTCTGCTGCAGGCCGTGTAGTAGCCGCTCCAATCGAAGTTTCTGTTGTCCTTCGCTAAGAAGAAGATACACGGAGAAAAATTGGTAGGAAACGCACCCATTCGCATCATATCCTCCGCCTGGAGCTGTGAGATTGAAGGTACAATCGGTGCTGTTGTATGTCGTCCCATCCGCAAAAGGCCCTCCGGCGGTCAGGGTTGGCACGATGTACAGATTCCCATTTTGCAAGAACGAGTTATTTGAAGAACCAGTCGTCATCTCAAATTGACCATTCCCGTAACCGTCCATCTGAACCTCGCGAAGCCATCGTCCTGGGTTGCTGGCGGTGCCGAAGACAGCAGCATCGTCGCCTTCATTGAAGTTGTCCTCGAATACAAGACAAAGCGGTTCTCTGTCGAGTCGCACATTGCGGTAAGTCATGTAGCTTTGGAATCCTCCGAGTGCGGCGCCAATAAAAAGCAGGCACCATGTGAGGAAATAGCTGAAGCGGGCTCGCGGGTTGGGTTTCTCGAGCCAGGGTTTGGACACGAGCGTGTACGATGCCCCAGGTGGTAGAGCCGTGGAAGCAGCTCGTTTGACTGGGCCTGAAGGAAGGTGGAGATCTTGGGCGGACGCAGGGAAGGAGGGAAATCGCGGGGAAAGATTGGGAGTTGAGATGGCAGTGCTTGGTCGCGAACTCGATGGTGGTCGTTGTTGGGGCGTCGAGTTGCCAGTTGGTATCCGACTGAGGGGAGGAGTATCGAAGGGATTTTGAACGCTCATGGTCGGGGTAGAAAGGAGGGAGGGAAGGATGAACAAGGCGAAGAGAAGACGGCTTCTTTGAGCTGTCAAGGTTCATGGCTCCGACCATCCGCTGATTGAAAGGCAGCTTGCATCGTCCGTCATGGCCATAGGCGCAGATAGACACTGGTTGGTCCTGGCCCTGACATCGTGCAATCACCGCTCGTTTGGCAGTTCGTTATCGCATGGATGAAGACCTCTAAAGTCCGAGAAACCGGAAAGTAAAGCCTCCAGTGATTCTTATATAGATGGTTCGCCGCAAAGCTGGATGATACGACTCTGAGCAATGGGGGTGCACGGACGGTAGGAAGAAAAAATGTCACCCGTCACACAGCGGTTCTGACAACCGAAACCACAACATGCTCGATGAATACACAATGACACTGAGGCAATCCAATTCATCGATATCTGGACTGCATAATAATACCACTTGACTGGGTTGAGCAGAAAAGTTCTCATACTCGATGATCGGACCCGGGACCGACCTATTCGGTAACTTCGAAGCAGGAAAGCCAAACCTCCGAAGCGGCTCTGTATTATTTTGGCGTGAGCCTAGGAACAGGCTCGACGAACATGGGCCTCAAGCATACCTTGTAGCAAAATAGTCAACAATGCTAAATGGATGCCTCGTATCACAAAACAGGGCCCAAACAAAAATACAACTGTTCGTAGTGCGGAGGATTTGTGGCTGCATTGGTTGGCGTGGACAAATCGGCTTTTCCAGGTAAGAATAAACGTGGTCGACTGAGTGGAAGAGATAGTTAGTCAGCGGCATCGCACTCATTCTCTTCCGCTCTGACATACGCCTCGCAATCTCCTCGAATCGGACTGATGTACCTTTCGGCCTGTCCAACATGCAAGAAGGCCGTCGAGATTGCAAACAACAGGCTGCCGTCTTGTACCTGACGCGAACAGCGAGCATTCTGTTTGAAGATATGTAGTCTGACGTCGGGCGAACCACCTTTTCCGTTCGGTCGCGTTCCCCTTCCATTCTCCCACCATCCTCTCCCTTAGTCCTTCCCTTAATCCCGACCACACCCGACGATGGCAAGCACTCCCTACACGTCTTACTCGCGAACGACCATCGGCGGCCAGCCTTCTCCCTCCCCAACCGCTTCCTCGTTCTCGTCGCAATCTTCGTCTCCACGGACAGCCAGACACAACCACCCCAATAGCCCATATATGCCATCCAGTCCACCCCCAAATGTCCCGGTCTACGGCCAACGCGCCAGAGTACCTTCACAGCTCGGTGTTTCGCGGGCATGGGGAGATCTAGGAGACGAAGAAGAGCTCGAAGAAAACATACATGATGCAGAACGCATCGAGGTGGCTGATTCAGAAGTTTATTCGCCCCCGAGAACGCCAGCACCTGTCACCATCCTCACAAGCGACTACGACGAGGTGGACGCGCTTTTGCACGCTATCTGTGCGTGTTGACTGCGATGGCCACAACGTTCATACTTATTAATTTCAACAGACGAGAAGACACAACAAGATGCTTGGTTTGCGCCTGGACCTGGTGCTCTTGCTGATGCCTCCCTTGGTGGTGTCGCTATCCGAATTTCTGCCCCAGTTAGCGTTACCGCTGGTGCAGAAGATCTCAACAAATCCAACAATCCATCTTCCGCCAACTCTGCCTCGTCCACTTCCGAGCAACAACAACAGCAAGCTGAATTCCGTCTATTTCCGTACAATGCGCCACATCTCGTTCCATTCGAGGCAGCCGTTCGTGCACTTAACCCAGCCGGAGCAGTTCTCGTCCGCAATGCCTCCGTTACAGCAGCGGTGGGGAAAGTCCCTCTAAGTGGCCCGTTCCTCGATGTGGATTCAGAAACTCGAATTCAGGTCTTGAATAGGATGGGGGATTTGCCTGGGGCGGAGAAGGATCAACGTGCGGCTTTCATTGTAAGTCCTTCTCTGCTTCTTCTTGTTTCACACTAGAACCATTACAGCGTAATCCACCGTCACTCGTTCTGTGGTCTCCCCAGGTCGAATTACTCTCCGATCTGTTCGCCGAATTTGAAGAAAAACTCTTCAAGCACATATGGCGCACTCGTGCCTCAGTCGCACCAAGCGTGGCTCGACGGGAGCGTGAGCGGGATAGCATGGCTGCCCCCGGAGTCTTAGCTTCATTATTCGGCGGTGCAGCGGGGACCCCAATGATAGAAGAAGAAGAGCCCAAGATGAGCGACATCGATCTTGGGGCCGAGAAGGAGGCTGCATCAATGCCACCAAATACCTCTTCGTCTAGTAAACCCGCGAAGCGTGGCTTCTTTGGGTGGTCATGGCGACTCCAACCCCGTCCTTCGACCCAGGCTAAGGCAGAGGCAGACCCAGAAAAGGCTGGCGTGGAGAGCGCCAAAGATCGCAAACTCGTTCTCCTTGGCCCCTTCTATGCCGGTTGTGGCGCGGCTTTAGCGGCTTGTGCGTTTTTTTTGGAATTATTCCAACCCCCAACTGACATCTTTTAGACTTCGTCTTCGCTGGTATCTCTGTGCTTCTCGAAGAATATGCTTTGGATGGTGATCCTCGACGTTTCGCACTGGTCCTGACGCTTCCAGTCATATTCTGTGTTTCAATTGTTTGTCACCTTGGTCCCTCTTTTCTTTTGTTTGACTGAATTCATTCGATAGTTCTTCTGTCTTCAACTTGTTGGCAACCTTTCGCTCGTTCTTGGTCCAGTTGCCCAATATCACGAGAACTCGGCGTATTATTCAGCCGTCCGACCTGCCCCCAACCCCGCTGTCGACAACAACCTTCCTCACATTACGATTCAGTGCCCTGTCTATAAGGAGAGTTTGAAGGAGACGATGTTTGTTTCTATGCATTGACTGTCCTTCTCGTTTATTGACTGGAGCTAGCGCACCATCCGTATTGTCCGTCAAAAAGGCTATGCAGACGTATGCTCGACAGGTATATTCATTTGTACAAATCGTCTACTAATGTCAACCTGTTCTAGGGCGGTTCCTCGTCCATCTTCATATGTGACGATGGCATCCAGCTCATTGACGAAGATCTGAGACGAGAACGTATGGAATTTTATGCCAATCACAATATCGGATGGGTTGCGCGACCAAAACATGGGAAGGACGGCTTCTTCCGCAAAGGCAAATTCAAAAAGGCAAGCAATATGAACTACGGGCTTGGTACGCTTTTGTTGCCCAAGTCTTCTCATGCTGAGTTGGCCTGATAGCACTTTCGCTCCGTTTGGAGAAACATCTCGCGGCTCTTGAGGCTTCTGGCGCAGTTGACACCGATTCTGAGTGCCTGGAAGATCGAGCAATGCAGATGGCCGTGGAAGAGATCTACGAAGAAAGCGGGAGGCGACACAGACCCTGGGCTTGCAATGGCAAAAGCTTGCGTGTTGGCGAAATCATCCTCATCATTGATGCCGACACCATTGTCCCCGAGGACTGCTTCCGCGATGCGGCGAGGGAGATGTATGAGAGTCCCGACTTGGCTATTATCCAACATGAATCAGGTCGGTTTATTGGCATATCTTTCTCTGTCAAAATTCACTGAAGAGAACATAGACGTTATGCAGGTTGCCCACCATTACTTCGAGAATGGTATCACCCACTTTACTCGACGAATCAATAAGTGTATCTCCTACGGATGTGCAAACGGCGAAGTTGCTCCGTTCGTGGGACATAATGCATTTTTGAGGCATGGCCAGTCCGACTGATGCTTACATAATCTGACTCGCTTTAGGTGGTCTGCTATGCAAGACGCTGCCTTCATAGATCCTGACGACGGCATTCGCAAAATATGGTCTGAGGCGAATGTATCCGAGGACTTTGACATGGCTCTCAGGCTTCTTCTCGGTGGCTACACGCTTCGATGGGCAACATACTCCCAAGGTGGATTCAAGGAAGGAGTGAGTCTCACTGTCGTGGATGAGCTCGCAAGATGGCAGAAATACGCCTATGGATGCGACGAGATTATATTCAATCCGCTTATACGGTGGTGGAGGAAAGGCCCGATCAGTGATCAGCTCAGAGGGTTTGTCTGGAGTCAGGCGCCGGTGCACTACAAAGTCGGGATGATGTCTTACATGTTCTCGTACTGTGAGTCACTCGAACTTCCTTCTTACAACTTTGACCTATAGTCGGCTAGACGGTATTGCTGCCGCAACGATTGGTTCAATCATGAACTATCTTCTGCTCGGCCTCGGTCCAGATCTTGACCGATTTTATCTCCACTCGTTCGAAATCCTTCTTGCATGCACCGTGGTCTTCCCCGGTCTCGGGAATCTCGGCTTTACCCTGCTCGAATATCGTCTCGGACAAAGAAATTTCTTCGCAGCCATGGTTGAGAATTTACGATGGGTGCCATTCTTGTTCGTTCTTCTGCTTATTCTCGCCCTCTTCATTGATATTTGTTGCAGCTTGTTTTTCTTTGGCGGCCTCAGTATCCATCTGTCGACTGCTATTCTCGCGCACTTGTTCTCTTATGACATGTATGTCCAGTGATGCATCCAGTCTTCGATGACTAACCAGACGCTAGGCAATGGGGATCAACGGGAAAGGAAGTCGAACGTTCAACGTTCTGGATTGAAGGTCTATTTGCATGGCTCTTGTCTAGCGCTGACTGACCTGTTCCTGCTAGTGCCTCGAATCTGGAAGGGCTTCAAGTTGACGTTCATCATCTGCTTCAGCGTTATCGTTATGATGATTGTTTTCACGTCCGACGCAGTCCCTTTTGAATGGCAAATCAATGGCTGGAACTACGCCATCATCATACCACTATCCTTGGTCGTTGGTTGTCATATCCTGCTACCGGTACGGCTCCATCGTCTCGTTCTCCGATCTGACACTGACCAACCCTCTGTAGATTGTCCTGAACCCGTGGCTGATGATCTTCTCTTACTGAGGTCCCTGCTCAACCAGTAGTTCACAATGGACCCTCGTGCATCTTCTACTTTATCAGAGACTGCATCTCCCTGATACGCGCCACTCTTACCCCACACTTACCTCTCATTTGGACTCCTCACTGTCGTTTACATGTGTTGTTGAAGTTATTTTGGGTCTTTGCTGCTCGGGATTAAGTACTGTATAGTTTATGATAGTATGCGACAGAACTTCTGGTACAGTAATGATTTTTGTGTACAGACCGGATGAAATGACAAACGACCCGGCCTACAAACAAGTCAGTCTTACGCAAAGTTAACATGTCGGCCTGGTAATTCTTCATTTGCCTGTTGTCCACAGTTTATTACAGAATTTGGTACGACGTTGGTGGCGCAGCACGTCACATGCTGTATTATGTAATGATCATTGACAGTCCCCACATTTTTCCATTTTTTCGTTCACGTCGTAGCTGTTCAGCACCCCATGCTTCGCTCGACAATCGAGTTTCAGTCGACTCGACTCGGCTTCTCAGCGGTCAATTGCCAATGGCATACCCAACGCTCCATTGAATTCTAATGGACTCAAAACCTCGTTCCTTCGGCCAAGAACAATGTTCGCATCTTGTACCTGTGGAATTCGAACATGGCCCTAGCTCATCGTCCCGCTGATAGGACAAGGGGCGGATATGGCGCCCTGTTTAAACATATCCAGAAGCTGGTATAGAGTGAATTGGTTGTTTATAGCGACTGGTATCATCGCCCTCTGCAAAGTCAGTATCCGCATTCTGCATTCCTGAACCCAGATATATATACTGAGCACTTACTCGCCAGGAAACCACACCTCACACATGCGCCTCGAGAGCTTCCTTGTCGTACTTTTTGGGGGTCTCACCCTAGCGGAAAGTGATATTTCCTCCCCCATCTTCCCAAAAAGTAAATTTTAATATAGACCCGTCCAGACGATGCCACCAATGGTAAACAGGTCAGGCCTTATGTCATTAACGATGCACTGTCATGTAATATCATCACAGGAATCTTCCCCTCGAGTCCGTGGCTGGATCGAAAATCGAGCTCCCACTACTAGTCCCTCTAGTAGTGTCAGTAACATGGTTTCTTCTGCACGAACACTTGGTTGAAGTTATCATAGACCCCAACGCGTCCAACTACAACTTCGCGTCAAACAGCTATCTCGACTAGTAGCTCCACTCAGATACTTAGTAGTTCCAAGTCTACCACGGTGAGGAGATACTACAGGTACATAACCATGACCTCTAACACCGCCCAGAGCTCTCCGTCGACCACTCCAAGTTTGACACGTACTTCATCTACTTCGTCTATCTCGTCTCTTTCGTCTACTTCGTCTCGCTCGTCCTCCTCCTCAATCCGCTCTTCAATGTCGTCTTCCACAACATCGCTACCACTTCCTACTTCCTACGTGGATTTCGGCATTACCTTCTCAGGATTCAAGGAAACTAAACACAACATCACATATGGATTTACGCTGCCTCCAAGCAATGCGACAGAATTTTTGGGGGAGATAATTGCACCCGTTGCCAACAAATGGGTCAGTTGAAGGTCCCCTGATGCTTTTAGAATGCAAATTTACCTCTCTCATTAGGTTGGTGTTGCTATTGGCTCATTGAACAGTAATATGATAGCCGGTTGGCCGAATGATACACAAGTTGTTGGTTCCTCGCGCTTCTTGAGGTCAGGAAGACCCGCGTGCTGTGTATACCTATCTCACTATTTTTTCATAGCTCGGGACTTGCTGTGCAGCCAAACCTTGTGATGAACCTGACCACGGTTGCAAGCTCTGTCAACAATACACACTGGTCTTGGGTATATCGCTGCGCAAACTGCACTGAATGGTCCGGCGGGAAACTGGCTGTCAACGGAACACAATCTATGACCTGGCTAGTCGGTAAGCGCATGAATTTCTTTTGCAATTGGTGGCTTACATTGGGATAGGATTGCAGCCTGTTCTTACTCCGGAGGCAGACAATAGCACGCTGAGTGCCATCAGCGATAGTAAGCAATTTTATACCACACGAATGACTCTCACTTATCGCTGTTCTGATCAGTCGGTACTTGGCAACAGGATTTGGCCGCTGCGCAAAACAGTGGATATTCAAATTTTACGGTGGCCAGTAGCAGCAGTTGGGTCCGAAGAACTATGTTCCCTTCAAAAAGTATCGGGCAGTCCCGATACGGACCCGCGATTGCAACTCATGCCGGGAAATTGTGGATCTCCGGCGTCATAAACGACCAGTCACTTTGGTACGCAAGTGGCACCAACACCGTCTTTGCTCAAAGCACCACGAATGTCAACTCCGAAATCGCAGCGGAAGGCCCTGCATTAGCCGAATTTGCTGATGTTCTCCATCTCGTTTTTCCCGATAAGACCACAGGGAATTTGGTGCACTTGCAGTATGACGATGCATCAGCAACCTGGGGTCAGAGAGTTGTCACAGCTTTCGCGAGCACTGCGCCAGCTACGTTGACAACATTCAATGGAGCGCTTGTGCTGGCTTATATCGACGGGACTCAAAATAACCGACTCTATGTTGCCCAATGGGACCCGGAAAACCTTTGGAGCGGTCGTTATGACCTGGGAGGCTCCCCGCAAACGTGGGGAACTGCTGCTCTCTACGCTCTGGGCTCTCAAATATACCTGCTGTATGTTTCGAACAACAGCGGGCGGCATGTCCAAGCTTTAACGTCCACTGCATGGAACTCGCCATGGGTTAATGCTACAGCGCCAAACGAGAGCACGGCTTTTGGAACCAGCGCGGCAACATACGAAAACACGGCTGTGATGGCTTTCCAGTCCAATAACGGGAAGGGGCAGCTCTTTGCCAGCATTTATAACGGTGTGAGCTGGGCTGGTCATGAAGATACGGGCCAAACTACCAGTCATACCCCCGCCGTTGCCGTACTTGATGGGATCGCGAACTGTATCTTCTCGTCGCATGATTCCTCGTCAACAGTGCTGTGGACACAACGACCTGTTTCGCCTTTCTCCCTGAGCAGTTGGATGGCTCATCTGAGCGACAGCCTTTTGCTATCACAACTATCCATTCCCGGCTCTCATGATAGTGCTTCCGTGACTATTGTTCCATTTACCGCTACCCAGGATTTATCCATCACCGATCAGCTCAGCATGGGCATACGTTTCTTCGATCTTCGCTGCACAATCGTCGACAACGTCCTTGAGATGTATCATGGCTCAATTCCTCTCGGAACGTTCCTGTCGGACATCCTAGGAGAAATTTACTCCTTCATAGGAAATGCTGGCTCCAGTGAAGCGATCATTGTGTCTATCAAGCAGGATCATGACCCCGTTGACTCGAATGTGCCATTCGATCTTGCTGTGTTGCGTCTTTTGCAGCAAAATGGACAGTTCTGGAATCTCGGCGCGACAATCCCCACTCTAGGAACTGTTCGTGGGAAAATTCAGCTTGTGCGTCGCTATTCTAGCACCACTAGCCCCGAAACCTCGATTGGCATCGCCGCGACCGGGTGGCAAGATAATGTGCCAACTTTCAACATCACTTTGCCAAACGGTGCCTTCGTTATCGAGGACCGGTACAACTATGATGGCGTTGTTGGCTTGGATCTTGTCGTTACTAACAAGACCAGCTATCTGCTAACATCTTTGGTCAACGCGCAGAACGACAATACGAACTCGAATTGGTATATCTCGTTCTCCAGTGCCTCCAATACGCCATTCAATGAGCCGGAGACACTAGCGGTGGGGGGTATCGCGATCGTTCCGCCTGGCTTCGTCGATGGTGTCAATTCTCGACTGTTCACCTATCTATACTCGCTATTGGGAGGAACTCGCAGGGTTGGCACGATTATGATGGACTTTGTTGATACCCCGGATGGTGGAGGGCTTCCAGAGCTCATAATCTCTCTCAACGGATGACATTGTGTTATGTCACTTTTTTTTTATCGTGGTACTTATTACATAACGTTGCGAAACCTAAATATGGCATTGATTTGACCTCTGTAGACATATTTATCGTTGTTTCCCAGCACACCATAGTCTGGTCTTTTGGGAAATCGGAGAACTTGATTCAGACAGCCGTCGCCGGAGGTTTCAGAGTGGGACGTTCAAGTTTGACATTGGCCGGGGCCAAATATAAAGCGAGTGGTCTTACTAGATGTGAGCATCGCAATCTTTCTTTCTTTCCTCTCAACCACCTCAGTTTAAATAAGTTCAGTCTTCGGTAAGTCTGTCGCCACCGACATTTCCTCCTTCCATCTTCAACCACCGCCGAATGCCGATTCCTGATATGTGGCTTTGAGGCTGCTTGGATTCGCGACCGCCTTTCGACCCACTTGACGCTATGGGGAGGCTATCGTCCTGCGTTGCGGTGAGGGAAGCCTTCAGCTTGCCAGGTACTATACTGATCTTCCCGCAGCCTCCATCGCCGACTCGACTTGAGCCCGTTGACAGTGTAGCGTTCAACTCCAAGTGACCAACTGCGATCTGAAAACCCTTCAGTCCGCTTGAGCCATCCTATCCATGGACAGTGACTTCGAGTTTGACGTCGCCAGTGGCCAGCTATGGACTTGTGAGTGTCTGTCGTATCCGCGTCTTTGATTAGCTAACCGCAAACTCAGTGCTTGGGAGCCACACGCACTCCGATGTTTGCACTCCTGATATTAGCGTCAAGGGATAAGGTGCGTTCTCAGAACGGTCTCTATGTGATGCGTACTCATGTCATAAACAGGGACACGAACTTCACTCGACGGGAACTGTTTGGTTGAAGTTGCAACAACAACTTGAACGTCGGAAGGGACGACGGTATGATCATATGCTTTGACAATTGCGATCCGATCTCACTCTTGTCAGTAGTATGTTCATCGACGCTCCCCACTGGCTCACAATCATTTGCTTTTGGCGATGGATTTGGCCCTTGGCACGTTCACCGTTGATGTTCCAAGTGCGTATTTTATAGCAATGCTGCGACGACACATTAACACTCACGACAGTTGGAACTTCCTCGAAGTCACACACTTGTTGGTGATGGAATCGGCCTCCTCCTGCAGACCTACACGATGCGGTTTGCGCCCAGTCACTGCCTGGAAGGGATTCAAGATTGGATTTGCGCGGTTACGCCGGCCTCAGTCTGACCTGGTGACGTCGGGGGATCACCGAAGCGTACCATAGCTCAACTCTTTCTCCCTTCTGCCGAGCTACCAGAGAGCGAAGACGCGGGCAACCACCAACGGTTGTACAGGCATTACAGTTTCTGAGATCAGCACCCCAATTTTGTAGCAACTACACCAGTTGGAATGGTCCCGATATCCTGATCCTTTTGCTACGAAATTTTGTACAAATCAATTATGCAACATGAACTATTCTGAGTGACTACAAACCCCAGGGCTTGTGGATATAATGACGGTAAAAATTTGGTTCCATAGTCTCACAAAGCAGGTTAGCTGGCTCCTGGGCATTGATCGGGGCAGAAGTATGTACCTGTTGAATCTCGTCTTTCGCCTCGGTGGTCGACACGGCGGCAACAAGTACTGTGGGCTGGAGCTCATTCTTCAGCACTGCATTGGTACCAATAGCAACAGTGGAAGCGAGCACTCACCAATTCAGAGCGTCGTCCTACTTCAGCTTCGGCGCGAATAAGACGTTGTACATCGGCCTGTCCATATGATCAGCAACTAGACAGTTCATAATCAAGTAAAACAACAACAAACCCTTGTCGGTGATGCAGCGAAGACGGTACACCCAACTCCTTTACGTTCCATGTACTCTGAATCGGAATTCGTGGTTGAGGCGGCAAAGTTTGCAATCGCGAGTGCATCGGTGATGGCGGCACTGTCGTCGTTTGTCGAACTTGGTCCTCTTGGCTGGATCAGAAGTGAGCATCAGATGATACCGTGAACGACGGCGCCCTCACCAATCCGAGAGCATCGTTTACACCTTCGTTCTTGGTTTGCTCAGACAATATTTCTGTATCGGGCGAGGGTAGCAGTCGCGATTGCTCTGGTTCAGCAGTAGCCGTGGGTTTGAGATGGATAGATTCAGAGTCTTCACTAGTCGGAGCCGTTTTTGCATGTTCGGCTTCGTGTGACGAGCACACTTTCGTAGGACTTGCGTTGTCGTAAAAAGTCAGCAATAGTCGTATCTACAGAAACGTCAACTGCGGGTTATCGCGGGAGATAAAAAAAAGTTGCCTTTTTATTTGGAGATGCCGCTTCTGTCGAAACCGGACTGAGATCTTGCTTGGGTTCAGAGGTAGGGAGTCGTTTGCGTGGCTGATATTAATATAAGCACGTATCGTGGGACATAGACGGCAGAAGTCGAACCGTGCGAGTTGGCGGCGTTGCACCGTCGTCTTGGGTACTCTCCACCGAGCTTGAAGATGGTAACACGTGTTTCTGAGCCTGGAGAAGAATGAAAAGGCGAGACAGAACGACGAATAAATTTTACCGGCTCGTCTGAGCTTGAAAGCGAGATCATTCCTGTTGTCGATAGTGTGGTGTCCTGGGTAGCAGTTGCGCGCGTCGCCGATAAGGCCGCGAGGAAGATTTTATTCGATAATGCGTTGTTGTGGAAATTAGTGACAAACTGGAAACCTCATTGAGCGGGTGTTGATCGGTGCAACAGGTATACTTACTTGACGGCGAGCTTGAATGCGAGCTTTGTAGGCTTGATGGCGAAGAATTTTGTCAAATGCCCGAGGTTCTGGGACCGTTTCTACTGAGGCGCCTGGCATTGGTGCGCTGTCAAGCTGATCGACTTCAGCCTAAACAAGAATGAAAAGGCGAAAGAATGGGACGAATATATGTTACCGCCTCGTCTGAACTTGCAAGTGACGTTGTCGGCAGAATATATTCTTTAGCAGTGTCGTGGGCAGGAGGTGCCCACGTAGCCATTCCAGCTTGGACAAATAGGTTGTTTGATAGATCGCTGTTGTGGAATACGGAAGGATTCAAAGGAAACTAGAAACGGAGGTAGATTAGCAATTGTGCGTTTTGCATGGCAGCTACACTCACTCGAGCATGGGAAGCTAGTAGCAATGTGAAGGCTGATTGTGGAACCGTTGTTATTACCGGGACGTCAGGCGGAGTTCTGAGGCTTTTGCGTCCGCTGCGACGGGAACGAGCACTAGTACCAGAAACATTGAGCGCGTTGAGTTGCAAGAAAACTAATAACAAACGGGGTATGTGGCGCATCCAGTAGCAAAAGGCTGCCCGCCTTACTGCTGATCTCGCCTTGGTTCGGTGCGCTGGGGGTCGAAAAGTGGCCGGCCAAGTCTTTCTCGCCGGACTCGTCGTCGTTGAGGAGCATATATTTCGAAGGAAACGCGCTGGATTTGACGGTGTCAGTCCGCGCATCGAGGGAGGCAGGCTACAACTCACCGAGGAAGTGGGAATTGTGCGGCATCGCGAGAATTGCCAGGGTCGTCCTTTCGTGGGCTACATGTCGCATCAGCTGGTCTGCCAGTTATAAGAGCGACATAACATACGATGAAGGTCGCGACATGGCGAGAAGGAGGAGAGGGAGGCGCGGATCACAACTTCACCTCAGACGCGTTTCTCATATCCTAACAAGCACCAAAGACAGAACTCCGCGACAAGTCCTCATTATGAATGAGTATTGAGTCTGAATCGGAAAACGGGGCTCTACTCACTTGCTTAAAATGCTCGTCCCATAGCCGTCTTCAATGGAACTCTCTCCAAATCATGATTCCTGGTGTTGCATTTCCAGACTCAAGTATGCCGCATATGTTGCTCGAAGCAGAACCCTTTTCTACAGAGCGTGTAGCGCCATGGAAAAAGGAAGAGAGATGATGTGACGTTTGATCTGATTTTCTTCACGCTCAAATGATCCAGAAGCATCATGAAATTCAAGCAAAAAACAGTGTTTCTAAAGAGTATGCATATCTATCCAGCAGTGATGAAGGTTAACATTTGAGGCTCGAGGATCCAGTGTCATCACTTGGTAGTGTGGCTTTGAAAAAAGTCATGAACAACCCCCAGACATAAAAGACAACCCACAGTGCTTTGCAATGTGCCGCCAAAGCTGTTTTGGTGAACACCCGCTTGCGTTTGGTGACGGGACAATCAAGACAATGGAGCTTGTTCTGGGAGGCAGCCGGAAGAGACGATTTGGGGATTGAGTTGGGGTTGATCTCAGGATGCCTGGGTATTGTGAGAGGAGAGAAAATTTTCGCCAGTAGGCTTACTTGTTCACAACATGGTCGGAGACGCCATGGATCTTGACGAGTGCGCCGCAATATGGACAACGAGACTTGCTACAATAGATAGTTCCGGGAACAGTACACTTGACGAAGTCTCGGTATTCAAGCAATACTTGAGAGCGAATTTCGACCCAGACTGCTGTTGTCAATGTCAAGATCCAATGATCAACAGACACAACTTACTTGAAATTGTCATCAAGGCCAGGTCACGATTGAGGGCAAAGACAACTTGATTGAGAGTAGCACACTTGAGGATTACATGGAGCTTGACGAGTTCGGTGAAGCAGATGTTGCGGACGCTGCGAACAGATCAGGAAGTCCAATGGAGGACAGGGAAAGGATAGCCACTATCCACGGTTGAGCTTCTCTACCTCTTCCCGCTCAACCATATACAGATTCCTCCAGTTTGAGAGTTCGAGTCCGTTCTGAGGACGAGTCAACAAGGCAAGTAAAAGCAATGAGAGAACGTGACCTTTTCGAGAATCGGACGATCTCGACCCTGTTTGGCGAGTTCCTGGAGACTGAATCAGTAAACCAAGGTAGTGATTTATAGTCATATGCCTCTTGTAGCTCCGACACTGTACGCCGGGGAAATTGGCCCCGACCACGAATCGGCCGCCCATGAGTGACGTCGATGGCCTGCTCCATCTCTCGGTTGGCTTGCTTTGGTGCGGAAACGTTGTAGATGTAGCTTCGCGGTTCCCTAGGGTCAGGCAAGCTGAGAACGCGTGCCAAATGCTTGCCCCAGTTCAAGTCGTCGAATTTGTGCGCTTTATCGACAAACAGAGCCTTCCGACTGGTATGAAAGTTTTCAGCCAACGCAAGAGCAAAACTTCTGCTGCTCGTACTTACGTCTTGAGAGCATTCTGGCATGCTTCCTAACCAGTGTTTTGAGCATTGAGTCAACGCAAAGAGAGCTGGGACAACTCGCCTGACACGCCCGAAGTTTCAAAACAAACTGCCACGGTAAAGCCATTGTCATCGTCTTGCAATACTGCCCCCAAGATAGGTGGAATGGACAGAAAACAAAACAGCCACGTACATTGCACTTTCCGCCAGCAAAAATCCATTTTACGTAGGTTGTTGGCGAGTAATCGCGAGTTGCTTCCAGTCCTTGGGGCCAGAGGGGCAGAGCAGGACAGCTGCCGCGCGATAGGTTGGAGAAAGAAATGCTCCAAAGAGATGGGTAGGCTGTAATGAGGTTTCGAAGGCGATTGGATGTGTCGCAGAGAAGAGCGAGGTCCATCGGACTGCATTGCTCAAGAATCTGTGAAATATTCATGAAACAAAAACAAACCAGAACGGCAATCCTTGGACAAACCATAAGCACAATGTCCAAGGAGAAGTTTGGAAACGAAGGAAACAAGAGGGAATGCTCGAATTTAGGTCTCGCGGAGGCGTTGTATGGTCATGATGATGGAAGTCGAGAGCAAGAGTTCCAAGCGCATGCTGAATCAACTCTGAACTCGAAAATCTGAGCAGTCTATCGCAGTCGTTGCAGACAAAGAACAACACAGGAAAAGTATATTCGAAAAAACTCGATAAAATGCGTCTTCCTTGGATTTACTACACCCAGAATCAGGCATCGGATCCTACCCAACCTTCTCTTGGAGCAAAATTAAAGACAGCACGCCCAGGTAAAACATCTTTCACAGTCATGCTCGTTACCGATAGCGGCCCAGCTGTCCGCACGTAACCACGTCGTCGACTGGGCCCTCGCTGTGGGGATGTGCAACCCGTCGCTGCTCTCCAAGAAAAGATTGGATAGCCAGCTGATCTGGGAGGATACCGAGTGACTACATCCATCGTTCACTGGTGACAACATGAACCTCAGGCAAAGAGTTGAAAAGCAAGAGCACGCACACATCTAATGGGACGAAAAAATGGTCCTAATGGAGAAGGATCTCGATGGGACGAACTATCTTCGAACTTTTACCCAACGCTGAGTTTCGGATCCCAACACAATCTGGCCTTGAGCAGTGTAGAAACAGCAGACGCCGCCCATCGTTCACCGCCACAAGAATGCTGATTCAAAGTTCAGAAACCAGCCCAGGAAAAAACTATACGAGACCAACAATCCGAGTTCCAACACCATGTTTTAGGTCGGCTGACGAGCAAGACAAGGGCGACTACTGGCGAAAGCCTACTCTGAGTGAGACGAGAAGGAGTGTATGCTTGACCAAACCGAGAGGCACATCAATGTTGTTCAAGTTGATGACAAGCTGATCTTGGGAGATTGACAGGATGAAGGAGGCGGTATACAGACGGCGCACCATTGTGTCCTTTGAAGTAAGTAAAAGCGATGGCATAGAGAGTCAGAAGCAAGAAGACGAATTTGTGACCCCGTGACCTCCGAAGGCTGATGAACTGTGAAACTGCCGACACCGCAATATCCAGGTCTAGCATGGAAGCGGAGCTGTCTATGCTGTATCATTGGCGAATCGTTTCTGGATTCGTTTTTCGAAAGATCAGATATATACATAACAGATTCTTTAACACGGTCAGTATGAAAATACACTCCACACAACCGCGACAGGAAAATACGCCTACTGCCCCGTCGTAGCACCGATGCCTTCCCAGAACCTGTACCCAACAACCACAATTAGCTCTCATGCGTTTTTAGCAAGAAAAATAAGAACACTCACGCGCACCGATCCAACAACACCTGGCTCGTCTCGGACGCCTGCACAAATGGCTCGTTCGATTCCGTCCGGTTGAACAACATCTCCGTCTGCGAAGGCGATTCTGACCACAGCCCCCAGTCCGGCGTAATCGTCGGGTTCAAAGGGTCGACATCGATATTGGGGTCTTGAGAAATGATGAATGACGTGAACATCTGTGCAAAGGCGTTGATGAAATCCCTGTCCGGAAAGACGGGGGCCCAGAACGAAGGGAAATAGTAGCCGATATCACTGCCATGCGTGCCGGGAGGGACCGCAAGCTCAGCCTTGTAGGCGCGTCCGGAGAACGCTCTGAGCAGGTAGTAGGTCGCACAAACGAAAATGGCTAGTTTGGAAATAGGTTGGTAGTGTTATAAGAGAAATGGAGAGTTGTTACCTTCGCTTTGGATCGCGTTCGCTTGGAAGAACTGCGACCCAAGGCCACTATATAGTTGTCCCACTTGGCTCGCTTGAGCTAGTGAAAGGGTCGGGAAAAGATTGTACGCGTATTGTGTCGCATTGGCTGTCGATACGGTGCTTCCATCGACGAATATATCGCCTTCGAAAGTGTTGAGGACGGCAAGGAGCTTTTGCTGCAACAAAATGAGAGAAACAGGAGATAATAGAACGGGGCGCACTCCGTTGACTTTGCCTTGAGCCAAAGCGAGTGTCGGCCGTTGTCGGATGAAGACTCCGTCAATAACTGGGACCAAGGTGAATGTTCCAAAGAAACCGGCGACATTGATGTTGCTGTTGGCTGTCTCGAGACTGTTCGCGTCAACAGCGCGAAGGCAGGCCATCGTATCTGTAGCATTATCGCAGCTGCAAATATCAAGCAGGGCAAATTACATCATAACGAGCCACTTACTTGACTTGAGTGGCCACTTTACTGAACAGCAACTGCAACATTATAAGCCGGATTCGAGTTAATTAGCAAACAAACCTCTGGAATCCTATCGTTATACTGGTATTGCGACGGGAGGAATGTGGAGCTGACGATTGCAGCATGGAATAACTGTGGCTCGGTTTGACCATCGTTGGCGATGATTTGTTGGAGGACAGAACCCGCGCCTGGGTGGGGTTATACTGGTGACAAGACAAAGAAATTGGTGCCAAACCTGCAGACTCGCCCCAAATCGTGACCTTGCTTGGGTCCCCTCCAAATTTAGCAATCTATAGATCAGAAAAGTCATTGTGCGGAGATGTTGTCCTCACATGTTGATTAACCCATCTAAGAGCAGCGTCTTGGTCAACTGTGTTGACAACGTTACCAATCGAATAAGCAAATGGAAGAGTGCGCATACGAAGACCAGCATTCAGTGCTCCATTCTGCTTTACTTTCTCACCAGGCAAAAACCCTAGCAGTTTTCAGTCGCGAAAAGTTGGTCGAGACAATCCTTCGTACCAAATACTCCCAGCCGATACTGAATGATCACAACGACCACTTTGCGGTTGCTCTGGTTCAGTATGTCTTCTCCGTTCCAAGGGTTGGCTTGACCACCAAGATAGCCCTAATACGGAGAAGTCAGCTCGAGCTTCAATTAAATGACTCGACGCACTCCGCCATGGATCCAAACGAGAACAGGAAGGCCTTGCGGAGGTGTACCGGCTGCATCGCTGGGATAATAAACACTTAATGCATCTTGTTAGTAAATGAAAATGACTGAAATGACTATGAAACTCACTTGAGGAACAGACAGTCTTCGCTAGATGGTGTCCGAGAGGTTATAGGAATGGGGGGGTTAACTGGCGATACTCCGTTGTCCCTCAGCGGATTGGTCGATGCACCACCATTCGAGCTTTGGAAACATTGATCCGGCTGGTTCGTCGCATCTTGGACTCCGGACAGAGTTGGAGGAGGCTGGGGTGCGCGAAAACGAAGGTCACCTTATGATCACTTAGACTCTTTCTCGTCGGATAAGGATTCAGCTTACCCAACGGCGCTGCAGCATATCGAATGCCGAAAAAGTGAGCATAGTTGGCGGATGAAACCGCGCCTTGATATTGCGCATAGCCCAAGTCGACGATGGGGTTTTGCGCTGAGGCACTGAGGACGGTGGTAACCACCACCGCAAAAAACCTCCAAAGATGCATTAAGCGTAACCCCCATTCTGTGGAGCTTTATACTGTGACATAGGTGAGTGTTGTCCGGTCATGGGGAACGATCATGCGTACTTGGTAGGGAGTGCTACGGGAAACCCATCAAGAATCTGCTTCGGCGGCGCATTGGTTCTTTCGAGACCCGTCGGTATATGAGGGCAGTAGTGGAACCCATGGTCTGGGTTCCATTCAAACTTCGAATGACCATATGGATGCAGCGCTTTCGGAATTGAAGGGGGCAGTGGTTGAAGGAAACAAGTTGTGGTTGGAAGTAGAAGATGAGTACGTCACCAACAGGTGATCAGTCAAGAGATCGGACTTGTCGACATGTTTCTTTGCTTCAAGTGAGCGACGGCAGACACAGACTTCGTTTTTATGTACAGAACAAATTGGTGTGGATAAGAGAGCACGCCTTTTCGCCTTCAGTTACTACCAATCAGCAGTCAACCTCGAAAGCGACAGGTTGGGGGTAAGCAATATACGCTGAGAGCCGACAGATTCTCCAGTCTACCACACCAGTTGCCTAGGGACAACCCGAGAACTCGTACCCGCACGTGTATCGCCTGTCACTCCTTCCCGTATTTCGGGGAGACGGCAGTTTGGAGAGGAAGGTGAGGAAAAGTGTGAAATCTGACCGCAATCAAAACAAGGACAAGTTTTGTCGGAAGAGCTTCACGCCCCCAAATGTGCGCGGGGGTTTCAGAGTCACAAAACAAGTTCCCAATCCATCTGGGAAAGCATCAGTTTCTGTTCGCTGAGATACTTTTCCGTTGTTGGAGGCAAACGAACCATACATAGAAGCAGCAAGAGTGGCGAATAAGACGTCGCAAGTCACAGACAGACCACCTGCTGAAGCTATGCGAGACCATCGAACACAAGCGCGACGCCAATGGGAGGACACTCACATGGAAGTCAAGAGGAAAGAATGACATGTGTGACTGTCTCGGTAACATTCCCGTTTGGTGTCGAAGGTGTCGAGCTCCTGTTCCGATCCCAGGTATAGGACGATCGCAACCAGCACCGTCACGGGAAAGCTGAGGGAAATAGTTTTATGTAAATATGATACCATGCATACCTCAGCTTCAATGACACATGTAAGTTCATCAGACCTTTCACTCCTTCTGTGTCTTTTGAGGTCGTCAACCTGGGCCCAGCTGAAAATTTGGGCTAGTAGTAATGATGATGATTCATACGAAACAAGTGAGCTCCTACCGTCAATCGGACAAAGAACCACAACTGAACGAGTTAGAGTACAGAAAAGCGGTATTGACGTGGCTGTTGGCAAAACCAATGGTTCACGCTATCCAAAGTTAGTATATGGGCTAAATGCAAGCAGAGTGAACAAACTGACTGCTGCCAGTGGGAAGAGAGTCCTGTAAATACAGATGCTTCTACGGAGAAACTCTGACGTTTCACCGAGAGAGAGAGAACTGGACTTGTTGAATGACTTCGTGTGAACTTGAAAGTGTTGGTGGAGGTTCGACAAGAGACTGCATACAAAAGACTGCTCAGGAGGAACCCAAGATAATGACGAGTACAGTCCTCCTCGAACGCCCGAGATAGCGCTTGAAACTTGAAGCCGTAGAAATTTTGGTGTCCCACCGGTACAAAAATACCACTGCCAATCGCGTGAACTTGAAAAATATGGATCATCATTGCCCAAGGTGAGGTTACAATTGCTGCGTCTTGAGCGTGAGGGCTGCCAGCTCCAGCTGTGGTGCCTTCCTTTCGAGTGGTGGTAAGTAGTTCCGAACATGAGTGTCGGGTGAGTTTTGTCGATATCGATCGGACTGTGACTGTTTTTGGCAAGTTTGTTGTTCGCCTCAATTGGTTCGCCTCTGTCTTCCTCTTGACCTCAACTTGAAGTGTTCGGTTCGGGGTATAGCCTCTATGCGAAGACTCCGTGTTGAATGTACTCTTCTGGATGCCCCCCCAAACTCAAGATGTAACCGATGATGATGATGAGGTGGACGACGTCGTGTGCGTGTCTAGAAATATCCCAACTTCACTGCATTCTCACTCCACCACCGCCAACAGCCTTCTCGGGCCCTATACACTCCAGCCATCCATTCTTCTCGCTGGCCAACATGACCCGAACTCGTGATACCAGACAGTCGCCTTCCCGCTCTATTTTCTGGTGCCAGACGGCCACGAATGTGGAATTGTTGCCTTCCCAAATCTCACAGCCGCGAGGTTGTATAATACTGAGGACATGCCACTCTCATTACCGCAAAAATGCTCCCACTCCATCTCTTCGCTGTGCTTGCGGTATCTGCTCTCGCCGCTGCCCAGGCTCCAATCGTCGATCTTGGATATGCACAGTACCAAGGCTCTACATCCGCAAACATAACTAGTTTCTTAGGTGTCCGGTATGCAGCCGCCCCCTTAGGTCTGTTCCCGAGAAACAGATCTGACCGATTGAACCCATATATTGTTAGGTGATCTTCGCTTCAGAGCGCCGCAGTCACCAACGCATGTCGATGGAGTGCAACCAGCAATAACAGAACCGAATGAGTGCTTTCAAGCCGCTGCTGGGACTTCCGCAATAAATCCACTCGAGCAACGCGCTGAAGACGCCGTTACTGCTTCGGAGGACTGCCTTTTCCTGAAGTGCGTTATATATCATTGTGAAGGGCCACAGTGACAGTGTGATCAGCGTGTATTATCCGAGCGACTCTGTTGGAACTCCTCCCTCTAGACTCCCCACCCTCGTTTGGATACATGGTGGCGGGTGAGAGTAACTTGTCTGAGTGGTAATTGCAGTGTTGACTGCGTGAAGATACATCGGCGGGGCTGCGAGCTCTTTCAATGGTGGAGACATCATCAAGCAGAGCAACAATGGTGTTGTTGTAGTCCTGATCCAATACCGGCTTGGGGTGTTTGGATTCCTTCCCGGCGCCTCTGTCAAACGCGATGGAGCTCTCAACGCTGGGCTTCGTTCGTGGACCGTTCTCATGTTAACGTCATATTCTCATTCATCCATTCTAGTTGATCAAGACTTTGCTTTGCGTTGGGTCAACCGACACGTAGGCGCCGAACTTTGGATCGGATACATGCCTAAACAATTCTAGATTACAAAATTCGGAGGGGACCCGACCAAAGTTACAATCTGGGGCGAGTCCGCAGGTCGGTGTTGTGTTACTGTTTGTCGCTGTGATTCATCATTCAACAAGGCGCGGGATCGGTTCTCCAGCACATTATTGCCCATGACGGAAACACTCAGCCGCAGCTATTCAGAGGCGCAATAACTAGTTCAACATTCCTTCCCTCACAATATGTGTTCAACGATCGCGTTCCGGAGGTACTTCCATTTACCATGCGTGCTTCAGCACATACTCATATTTACCAGCTACTCTTTAGTAAGGTGCTGGCCCAAACCAAGTAACTATTGATTTGTAGCTTCAAATTGTTGAGTGGTGCTGAATCTCCCGAAGTTGTACTACTGCCTCCAACTCAATGGCTTGCCTCCGCGCCACCTCAGCTGCAACTCTTGAAACAGTCAATACCAACTTGAATGGGGCCGGTTTCTTTGGAACCTTCACCTTTGTTCCTGTAATCGACGGCGATTTTATCACACAGAGCGCTATATCCTCATTTAGAGAGGGAAAAGTCAACGGAGTACGTCTCACGCAAAAGTCGCCAACCCCAAAACACTAAAATCACGAGTAGAAAGCCCTTCTTGCAGTCACCAACGCTTTTGAAGGAACCGCTTTCGTGAATCAGAGTGCCGTCATCACAGCATCAAAATATTCGATGGGACTATTCCCTAAATTTGGACCTGCTGAGGAACAGCGTGTTGGATCCCTTTATGCTCCTCTCGGAAATGATCTCTTCCAAGTGAATGCGGTGCAGGGAGAATGTATGCTCCTTCAAGTCAGATTACTTTCTGCCATCTAATCTCCATTAGCTATCTTCATCTGCCCGTCTTACTTTGTGCTTCAGGCATTCGCCGGTCGCTCTTGGAAAGCCGAGTTTGCCGTCCCACCAGCTCTTCACGGACAAGACGTCGCTTTCTATTTCCCATCAACCTCGCCGCCCTCGTTCAATAATCAGGCATTTATCAATGCTTTTGCTCAGTCATTCACCTCGTTCATCATCAGCCTCAATCCCAACGTTAAGGTCTCCACCACTATCACGCCGCTCTGGAGTCCGTTCAATGAGGGGAATACAGAGATGCTTTTCAACCGGACTGTAGCTGGGACGCCGCAGGTGCAACCAATCCGAACCAATTCTGCCCTGTTAGCCAGATGCAGGTTCGTCCTCTCCGTCGGTGACGTCATTGCTGTCCTGATGAATTATGCAGCTTCTGGAATGGTGTTGGGCACCTCACAGGGCAGTGAGCATGGAAGCAAAAATATTCCGTTGCTACGCTGCTGTAACATCACGCACCTGCAACGCGACTTCTAACTGCGACCTCACCTCTGGCGGTCGTCATTTCAGCTCACAGATGTTTAAGTGAGATTAGTTCCGACCGTGATATTTTCCTTTCCTTAAATACCAATTCGGCGCTGGCTGTTCGCAACAGTACACTCACATCCGGTCTTGCTTCGAGTACGAAAAATCGCATTGAGTCGTACCAATGCCAGTCATGGCTCCGCATTCTATGTCATCATGTGAACGCGTCTTTCAAAGCTCTTGACCACGGGACTGAAATGTCTCCTCGTGGTATAAAACTCACCATGAATCTCAATGACAGCGGAAACTAATCGAAAGGGAGCACCATGCGCTCACTCCTTCGCCTGACGGCATGGACGAGTATCCTCACTGCAAAAGTTATGGGCCAGATCGTGGTGGCCCATTTTATGGCGCAAAATTCTTACTCGTATTCCCAGAGCGACTGGGCGAACGACATAAATTCAGCAAAGGCAACTGGGATCGACGGGTTTGGTTTGTTTCCGCAGCAATCTGAGCGCGGCACGGAAATTCACGCTCTGTCTAGCATTGAATCTGGCTCTGACAGATCCTGATTATGAAGTGCAACGCGTTGCTGACGCCTTCGTAGGCAAGTCTCCCTTCTAATTAAGCATTACTTCTAGTTCACGGTAGTATCACAGTTGCCGAAGCCTCGAACTTCAAGCTATTTTTCAGTTTTGACCTTTCGCCACAATATAATTGGCAGGCAGACGACATGTACGTGTTTGTCGTTGCCAGTTCAAGTCAATGAGAATCTGCTGACTCGATAGTCAAGTGTTCACCGCATCGCAACCTACGCTAACAGCCCGGCGATGCTGCGTTGGAATAACCACGTCCTCGTCTCAACCTTCTCAGGAAAATCTCGCGGCAACGATTTCTTCCAAGGGATCAAGACGTCCCTCGCAAAACAAGGCATCATTATCGCTTTAGCCCCAGCGTTAATTGAGTACCGCAGCCCTTCGTTGGCAAATCAGCTGTTGAGCGACTTCCCATCCATTGATGGGTTCTTCAATTGGTGGTCTTGGTGCGTTGTTCTCTCATTTGAACTTTTGCGCCATAATGAGATATCGTAGGCCGGATGATGTTAACTCTCTGCTGACCACAGACACGGACATTGCGTACAAAAATGCCGCTCACGCTCGCGGTGGGCCATACATCATGTGTGGGTCCATAGTTTGTGTTGCAAGATTGGTCTGAACGCCTTTCAGCCGTTTCCCCTTGGCAATTCAAGAACACGGACGCTGGCAATGCCTGGGTCGAACTTAGCGACACATTGTGGAGTTATCGTTGGCATCAAGCGATCAACGATGTGAAGCCAGATATTGTCGAAATTGGTTCGTCCTTGCTGGTTTCAAAGCATATGGTGCATGCTCATGGAGGGTGTAGTGACTTGGAACGACTATGGTGGTGTCAGCCGTGTAGTTTTGCCCGTGAACCTGACACCTGTTTTTGCAGCTGAATCGCATTATATTGGGGATATCAATCCCAACGTTGACCTTGGGTGAGTTCTGGGAGTGGATCTGCCAGCAGGGCTGATGTATTTTGTAGCACCGCAGCTCCCAACTACGTCAATGGCTTCCCACACGCGGCTTGGCGAATCGTTGCCCAATACTTTATCGGTTGGTACAAGACTGGCTCTGCGCCGAAGGTCACGGTGCGCGAATTTGTTCATTACCACCTGATGTGCACTGACCGATCTCTAGAATGACGTTGTGGTTTTCTGGTATCGGTCTCACCCCAAGTCCGTCTCGTGCTCCGGCGGCTGGGCCCCGAGGATGGCGAATTTTCCCGCCGATGCCGTCTTCGGTCTCGCATTATTGTCGTCTCCGGCCACGATCACGCTCGACATTGGGTCGAACCACGCACAATGGAATGCTAGTGCTGGTGATTCTATTGGCTCAGTCGCGTTCCCTGTGCAAGATGCCCAGATTCCCTACATCCAAATTGTGCGGAACGGGCAGACGGTGAAGAGTGGCTATGGCAGCGTGTTCGTGACGAATAATTGCAACTGGTATAATTTCAACCCTTTTGTCGGAGTCGTAGCTTGAAGTCTCTGTCTTTTTTCGTTGCTGATACGTGCTGAGACTGAACAATTATCGAAGCAGTATCAAGTATCACTCGAATGAATTGATTTGTGTGATAACGATGCCATTGAAGATCAGGACCCAAATCAAGCCGTGATTTGTTCAAAATCAACGCATTTTAGGCCAATTTGAGGATCCGAAATTGTTCCCGTTACGGCCTGTGGCTGACATACTTTTTCTACTTGACCCCGTCCCTGCTACACAATGTGCCTCAAACTTGACCATCCCGCCATCAGCGCGCCTTTCGACTTCGGATGATGGTCAAGGGATGATTGGGTATGGTAAGGCCTCGCTCTTCGCGTTGGCGAGTACATTCTGTACGGGCTTTCCTACCTATAGAGCTCATTATGACCTCTTTTCCAGCAGGTAGGCCGAGCTTATGTTTGCGTAACCAGCGTTTAATGGCCTGCAGGAATGAATCTGTGGTACAACACACCAATTCTCGGTGTGTTTGTGACTTGTTTACACTTGGTTTACACTACAGTCTTTGCTCATCTCCTATATAGTTGAGCTTGCGCGTGCATTCAGCGTTGACGAGCTCGGAGTATCCCGTATCCCCACCATTCTCCAAGCTGGGTCAGTCAGTATTGCTCCACAAGCCAAAGCACAATCCCAATGTTCTGCTAGTTATGCATGTGGTCTTTTTTCATCATCCCGCTGGGAGACGTTGTTCATCGGCGGCCGCTGCTACTGCTTCTCATGACATGCTCGGCGTCTCTCACTGTGGGCCTTGCGATCACCGACTCGCTAATTGCCTTCGAGGCCATCTCGTTTCTCACTGCTCTCGTTTCGGTTACGCCCCAGGTGAGCCTGCAAAATATCCATTGCTTAACACCGTTTCTCCCTTCTCCCAGGTTGTTACGCCACTTGTCGCCGATCTCGCACCTCCAAACCGTCGGGCGACAATGATTGCCCTCAATCTCTCCGGAATCCTCCTTGAGCTCCTGTTGGCACGCGTTCTTGCTGGAACTATTACCGAGTTTTCGAGTTATAGAAATGTGTATTGGATGGGTGTAGGTGGTGAGCTTCTCCTACCACTTATTCTTTCGTTTTTGTGACTGAGCCAATGACTACTACAGGACAATATATCATGCTCCTCGTTCTCTACTTCATAACTCCCGACATGCCTATCAAAAACCCCGACCTGTCCTACTTCCGTGTTTTCATCTCCATGGCCAAATTTGCGACGACAGAACCTGCACTCATCCAAGGGTGCTTTATTCTCTTCTTCAGCTCGTCGATTTTCAGTGGATTTTGGGTGACTATGATGTTCTTGCTCGCTGGAGAGCCGTATCGGTCAGTACCCCTTGTCTAACTTGTGTCCACTTTTTCATTAACTTTTCCTAGTTACTCGACGCTAGTCATTGGCCTCTTTGGTTTGGTGGGCATGGTCGGTGTCGCCATGTCTCCTCTGACCGGGCGAATCATCGATGGCTTCGTGCCCTGGTTTGCCATTCTCGTCGGCATTATGCTGGTTATATCTTCTCAGCTTATCGAAGCCTTTGGAGCACTTGGAACTGATACCAGTGGAGTTGGAGCTGTCGTCGTTGCTATCATTGGTGAGTTGTTGTTTCTTATCTTTGGATGGTTCTCATCTACGGCAGTGCTTGATCTCGGAGTGCAGGCGACGCAGGTGGCTACGACCACCTCCATATTCAGGTTTGCATGCTTTAACTTTCGTCTTTGAGTGCTCGTTGCTTATGTACGATGTAGTATTGCCCCGGAAGCCCGAGCTCGACTCAACTCGTTACTTGTTGTTTCCGTATGTTCGCAATTGGGATGGTGATCCTGATTGACTTTTCCCCCCACGTAGATACTTCTTGGACAAGTAATGAGCACCGCTGCCGGCACGCGGCTCTACGTCAAGCATGGGCATCGCTTCAGTTCTGGGATGAGAGTTGTGTTTGGCGGTGCAGAGCTTCTGTTCTTGTTGATGCGGGGTCCCTATGTTCGGCGGTGGACGTGGCTCGGATGGGAAGGAGGTGCTCAACTGAAAAAAAATGCGGACATATCTTGCGCTGCGGAAACGCCAGTGTATGGTGATGCAAAGACCTGTCCGTCAGCGAAATGAATGCATTTTAGTGGTGGTGATTCGACGTGTTGCCTCGTCGACAATTTTGGAAATCATATTCTGAGCCACCTGGTTCGAAATAGAGAACTGGGCTGGTTCAAGGGCTGTTTCTACCCAAGAGTCGGCAACTATCGGCAGATCTCTCGATAGATCGCCGATGCGAACCTGCCGCCTTGAATGTGATATTGATCGTCTCTTTTTCCTCTGCTCTCATGTTCCCTCATAACCTGGCCAAAGTGATGTTGTCCTGGACTCCCTCGCAATGCTATTCTCGTGGTGGAAGCGAAATGTCGCGCTCAACACGTTCGCCTACACGTCATTCATTTTGGGCCTTGCATCAACCATCACGGGCACCTACGTTACCTACCAACTTCAGCACATCGGCTTCCTTATTGGCACAGACCTCGATGGCGGGTCGTGCCTCACATACTGTATCGTGCCCTGGGGCGGCAAGCGGCTCGATCTGAACTCGGTCCTGCTCTACCTGAGCGCGATGCAGACTGGGCTTGGTGGATTTGTCGCCATCTTCGTTGTTGCTTATGCGGACTTTTGGAGTTGGTCTTTCATGCTGATGTTGAATGTCGAACTGAGCATATCTTTGCAGAACACAAGAGCCTCCTCCTGCCAATTTTCATGGTCGTATACGGTGCATTGGGTATACCCAGCTATTGGCTGACTGCCCCGACGCTCGCCAACTTTAACACGCTCTTCGCAATCTTTGTCGTCTATGGAGTTATAACGGTTATATTCATGGCCTTGCTCAACGTCTACATCCCCCACTACATGCGGTCCGCCAACGAGTCGGTGTCTGCGAGTCCCAGCATGCAGCGCAAAATGGGTTTCGTTATTTCGTCAATTGGGATGGTGTTCAGCAACATCTCAGGTGTAATCATGCTTGGCGTTATCGCACTCTTATCTGCATACCTTCCCACTGCAGAACAACAATCTGCTGGCCTGCTGGTGACGACAATTGTGGGATTTATCACCGTTGTCGCTGCGTTGGGCTCCTACTTGGGTCTTCCCACACTCCCGGCCCGCGCTCCGCCAGCTGACGATGGCCCGTTATGGAAGTCGGCCGTGCTCGAGCTTTTGACGCCCTTTCGCAAACTGCTTCATGCGCCAAACATGCTCATCTTGCTTCTAGCCTACACGATCTATACCGACACCCAGTTCGCGCTCATCAGCATCATCAACCAGTTGTTTTTCGTCACCCTCGCGCCCAACACCCTGGAATACACCCTCTTCACCCTTGCCGGCCAGGCATTTGTCATCATAGCCACCCTCGCATTGGTCTGGGTCCAGCGTGTATGGGGGAAGAAGTTGAACCTCGAGCGATGCCTTCTCGTGGGCTACGCGATGCTCCTGGTCGTGCCCGTCTGGTGCTGCATCGGGATGTCGCACCAAAATGCCTTTGGTAACAAACACCGCTGGGAGTTCTACGTCCAGCAACTGCTGATGAACACGTCGTCCGCCATCGTCAACGTGGTCTTCCGCATCCTCTACGCCGAGTTCATTCCCGCCGGGGAGGAGGTCATGTGGTATGGCCTGCAGATTGTCGTGAGCTGTGCGACAACCTGGGTCACATATGTCGCAACTGGACCCCTCCAGAACGCCACACACGACCTGCGCTTCCCCGTCGTGCTCTGTTTGGTGTTCTTGGCCTTCCCTGTGGCACTTGAGGTCGTGCGAGTCACGGTACCCAGATTTCGCAAGGCCGAGAAAAGCGAAGTTTTGGAAGACGCACAGAAGACGAAAACTAGTGAGGAGTCAACGTGTAATTATTATTAGTAACAGCATCCCTCCTTTAAATTGCAATCAGCAGTTTCAGTCATAACTTGCGAAATCGATTCCAAAATGATCGAGGATAAAATTCCTACAACAACATAACTTAGTCTATGTGGGATAACAAAAGCGTATGAATGTTGCTCGCGGTCGGTCGGTCGGATGGCTCCGTTTCCAGGCACGAGTTAGCTAGATCAGAATACCACACAGGCGTGATGTCCCTCCACGGCAACGAAGGGCGCACAAACGGCACGTCTCGGCGGAAGTACGCGATCTCCTCCGCTACCGCCCACAAAACCAAACCCAATTGAAATACATCTCTTTCCCTGGTGATCTGCGCAGACATGGATTTGAGTTCGGGAGGCGCCCACTCTGGCGCCCATGCTCTGGGATCGGGAAAGTAATCGATAAGCCGACATCGTCCATCGTCACAGAGAACGACATTGCCGGCATGCATGTCGCCCCAAAATATGCCTTGCGCATGGAGCCAAGCCAGTGCCGCTACGATATCGATGGCCCACGCCAATTTAACATCAAAAGGGATGAAGACGCCTGGGCTCAACGTCGGTACATCAGCTCCAAATGGTATGAGTTTCATCATTGGACGAGGAGGGTAGATGGAGAAGTAGAAATGGAGAAGACTGCCGGCAGAATGGTAGTTCATGAGCAGCCCACGAAGCCGGTCTGACTCGTCCACGACGATATGCGTTGGCCGAATAATGTGGTCTGAACCAGGAAGGGAGGCAAAAAAGGTTGCAGCACTGAAGAGGTCATCATGTTTATTGGCGGCTTTGAAGACCTTGAGCTGACGCGAGGCTTCGTTCGAGGAAATATGCACAAGAAAGACATCTGGTGTTTGACCATGTGCAAACTTGACACAGAGAGACGACAATGCAATGCGATCTAGAGTGATTCCCTGAGGCATTTCCTTGCCGACGAAATGATGTTGGTGCGTCGTCGATTCAATCAAAAATTCGCCATTGGGGTGCGTTTCAAAATTCACATTAATCGACCATCCTGGTTTGATTTCAAGCTGAGAGAGTATCTGAGGATATGGTTAGAAAAAATTGATTTCATTGACCATGCAGGAACCTTCTGGATCGTGCTCCAGTCAAGACATCGGCAGCCGTCGATTGCACGATTCTCGACGCAGTCCTGGACAAGTCGATTGCGCCGGTATTCAATGCGGACAGCAGTGCCACTATCGACAACAGATTTGTCCCCTTCTACGACAAGTCGAGTGGTTACTTGGAGGACGATCCCATTATGATCGCGGAGTAAAGCAGGATGGGAGAATGAAAGTGGACGAAATCCACGCTCTCGATGTTCCCACACAAGTTGCCGAGGTTGTGCTTGGGGTATAGGGGTTCTAAGTCGATAGTACGAGCCCGGGGTCTGTAATGTAGATTCGGGCAACATAGCTAGAGATGGAGACACGTCCTCGCCGCACATTAATTCTTCACTTCTGGTTTGGCTCCTCAGTCAATGTTGGTGGCAGAAAAATGGGTGCTTACGTAGTGCTGTGCTGCTCGACGAATTACGAGTACTTATGTAATCGTCTATCAATATCTGTCGTCCGCGTTTCACGACCTCGATCTTTCCCCTTGAGAGATTCTATTTTTGTAATGAAATTTGTAGTCTCAACCCTAACCCTACAGCTTTTTTTGTGACTCGAAATTGAAGGGTTTTCCGACTTAGTCGTATTGCTGTCCAAGGATGTTACCTCAGCAGATTATGTAACCGTCCCACGTCACTTGAATCTTTCTTTCCTGCATTTCAGCTTTACTCGCCGTTCCTTCTCTTCACCTTTCCTTCAATCTATCCGTGCTGCGCACAATTCAACGACATTGGGTATTGTAAGTATAAGAATATCAATCAGTTTTCTGTACATTCTGAATCAAATGCAGCCCTTCAAGCTTCATTCTCGTCGCTGGTTGCCCTTCGTCAGACTCGCTGTCGACGGCCAACTCCTTCCCCTTCCCTTTACCAGTAAAACGCGCAGCTATCGGGTTAGCGTTTCTTCGCATCCGCTTCCAGCGTTTTTCCTCAGCTTTTGCGCTTGAGACTTCGTGGACTTTGCGCTTCAATGCGGCTCGTTTAGCTGCTGCGACTTGCTACCAGCAGTGGTGAGTCGTCTGTCTCGAAAAAAATTCAATTTCACTTTGGAAAATGTCCCGTCAAGGTTTACCAAGCTTCGCAACACCACTTCACATTTGTAGTGAGGACCTAACTCAGGCGAGAAGGTCCGATAGGTCTGCAGAGTGAAGCCTACTTCAATGACATCTTTCTTTTTGAACGCGGTGGGGTCCCTAATGACCAGTCTGGACTGTGCGTGAGTCTATGTTTTTGTATGCTGATTGATGACTCACTGCTTGTCGTCCATTTGCAGGTACGTTACGACAAGGGGTCTCCGGCGCTAGCGCCGTATCCGGGGACCTTGCTTTAGATTTGATTTTTTTAATGGGTTGAACCTGCAGCTGCAATTTTTTTTTTTGACCGATAAGGTAAAGACGGTGAAATTGAGCCGGTTGGTGTTCTAGTCGGAGCCGAGGGTGTAATGGAGGGTGTGACGTGTGACAGCAGTCGTTTCTTCTTGTCAACTCTTTTATTTCTGAGTTCCAGGATCCGCGCGCTTTCGTTACTCAAAACGGGGTTTTCTTTTCGTGGCTACATGTTAATTGCCGAGTCTTTCACGGCCTGAAACAGGAAGGCGGTGCGTAGTATTCAAATCTCTTTGGTTTAAAGTGGCTTAAACACAGTGGTTCACTCGTAAGATACTACTCGATGGAACCAGCTATCACCTATGGCATTCCTCTCCCCCCCTACTTCAACTACGAGCCGCCGGTTCTTCAGTTGGATAGGAGTACTGTCTCGCGGCGGGGAAGTACTTCAATTCATGTCGTGAAGGATATCGCTAGTAGCTCCACGGGTCCCTTCTGCCTGAAGTTTGTTGGGCTTCTTCGATCGCATAGTTCGGAGGGTTACAGCGGACTCGCAGATCAAAGTGTACGTCAACCGCCTCTGAGATTTGGAAGCTAATATTTTGACAGGTTCTTGTTCTCGCGCGCGACCTGAGGGTATCCACGGAGAATCATTTAGAAATACTATCAACGCCTTGCAACAAGTGGCCGAATCGCCGCAAGCTGCTGTCAGAGTATATGCGCACCTTCGCTTGTTTTCCTCTCTTAGTTTTCTCACTAATGTTGTTTGTTAGGTTCCTTATTCTACCCGACAGTGTTATGTACGGGAAAGTCAGCGCACCTCAGGTCGTCTCGTCGTTGAGTATGGAACGAGCACTCTTTTGGTGATTGCTTTGTGTGGAACAAGTATATTCGAAATCTGAATCAATTCCAGACGAAACTGGATCTTCATAGGTCTAAGCATGTGCCGGTGGCTAGTACTGATTGCGACGTACTGGAGTCCGGCGCGTTTCTTCATGTAGAGGCTTTCATCAGTCGTGAAGACAGGGCGGTATATGGCAAGCAGTTGTGGGAGACGGTAAGTGGCAAACGTGATTAGCAGCCGCTATATTAACCATTTGCCGTCTACAGTGTTGGGTTCTTCGGGCAAGCATAATTCGCCGAGTGTTCACATCGAGCAGTGATACCTGAACAAGGTGTCTAGATGAGTTAGCGCTAAATCTTTTCTCTGCTTTTCTCATGCTACTGTTTGACGTACTGTGAAAGTTTTCTTCGTTTTATGATCATAATTATGCACGGCAGATGCATTTAAGGGCGTCGATGAAGGGAAGTGGAACAGCGACATGGCCACCTTTCTCGAAAACCGCAGCCCTCTTTCCGAGCGCGAGGAGAAGTTGTTGTGTTTCGAGGCTGACCCTTGTGTCACACAGGAGGGCACTGAGCTCCGTCGTGTCATGACGAATGGCAGCAGTGCTCAACATCCGTACACTCTTTCGTTTTATGGCAAGCTGGACGCTTTCTTTGCCACTGAAGATAAAGGCCATGTATTTGTCGTTCGCTGGTTGATGTCGCCGAGCTGATCAGTCGCTGTCCTAGATGCTTTTATTGAGTCCTCCTTCGGGTCCCTTCGCGGGAGGGTTTAGAAGGACCGCGGTGTTTCTCGCTGATATGCAGCGTGCATGGAGAAACTCTGTTCATGTAGGCCTCCGTCATAAGTGCTTCAAAATCTCATATGTTGTAGACTCCTCTTCAAGTTTACTCCTGCGTTCAGCTCGATTACGTGGAACGTGCTGACAAGATACTTGTGTACGTGGATGGTGATACATCCTTGGTAATTTGAGCTTTTGCTTGTTATACATCAGTGTATCTGACATTCTCAGCGTTCCAATGTTTGGTTTTACGCCTTCCCAACGTCGTCACCTCGACACCGATATCCCCTATGCACCTGTCGATTGTCCCGTTTTGGAGACTGGAGCCATTTTGAGGGTGCGAAGTTACCGCTTACCGTCAAGACTCGCCTAGTTTAGGAGGCAGAGTTTGGAACACGGTTAGTTTTCCATCTGACTTCTGCTTATCTCTTAAACGCTATGAACAGGCATGGTTCCTGTCCGGTAACGAGGTAATTCGGTATTATCGTTCGAAGGGCGGTCGTGCAGAACCCTCAGGCTATTCATCTGTCAAAAAGGGTCAGTCTCAGCCAGAAGTTGTGGGGGCAGGACGTTTTGAAGGGCGAGGGTATCCAAAGGATCGCCCGTCAGTGCGAGTGTAGGTAGATGAAGTGTCTTTTATGCCTTCCTCTGTTGTGTGTATACTACCAGTCAATTCCGATTTTCGTTGTTACCGGACCGTTTATTGATCTGATGGCTGTTACATAATATTTTGTTCTTGCTTCTTACTCGCTCACGATGACTTGTTGTGGTCCCTGTAAGGCGGCCCACTTAGCTTGTGAAGGTGTATTTCCATGTCGCCGTTGCATCAGGCTGTCTGCTCCTGAACGGTGTCTCCGAGTGCAAGGGGAACGAATGAAGCCGATTCAAGTCCGTTGATCTCAAGTACACAAAGTGGATAACTGATCGGGAGAAAGCAACTTGAAGGCGCTCTTTCTGTGGCAGGCGAGGGGGATATAAGCAAGACAGTTACCCCTAAGGTATTGAAGAAGGTTAAGTCTTCAAATGTGAAGAAAAAAATTGGCCGACCCTGTAACGCTTTCATACTTTTTCGGTGCGTGTATCGTGTACCAACAGTTAAGAACTAATTTTTATTATATCAGAAGCGCGTGTATCCAAGGCACCGCTGGGTACCCCGAGAACTCTCAAGCTTTGAAGTCCAAGGTTATTGGCGAACTGTGGAAGAAATTATCTGAACAGGATCGTCTTCCTTATTACCTCCGGGCCGATGAATTGCGGCGACAACACAGGGAGAGGTTCCCTTTTTTCAAACTCGGGCACACGTTGAAAGTGAAACGGGGCGCCAATGGAAAAAGCAATGTTCATGAAGACCTAGGCGGTGTACGACGAACAGCGTACCGAGAGGCGCTCCAACACGCATTAGAAATCAGCGTTATTGGCTCTAGATCCACCGAATACTGTGCTCGTCAGTTTTTCCTTCACAGACATACCTGTTGTACTAAATTGTCGTATAGCGGAGGGGCTACAGGTCACATATGATAATTCTTGCCCGACAAGCGTTCCGATTTCAATGGCCAAATGTGAGTTTCATAGCCAATATAACATACTCAGTGTAATGAAGTTCCAAGGAACCGAAATGGTCTGCGAGCGTCATGGGCAATGCTACGGATGTCCTATGCGAAATGCTTTCTTGTAGAGTAAGCAGCTGCACATCGCTGTTAATTCTCCTGTGCCGCAATCCTGGAATGGTCATGCAGATGGTCCCGTCGTAGTGCAGTCCGCAATTTCTCTTTATTCAGTGCAATCTAACTAAGATTCTGCTTTCGAGTGAAGTGATATAGGTGTGACCTCCCTGCGTAAGAAGCGAAGCGTCAAATCGTGCGAGCGCTGTATCAGTGCGAATTCAGAAGCCAGCACCCAGGGCAGTTAACCTCGACCGGATTCGGCACTGGTGGCGTTTTCTTGTTACCGCAGGTGAGAAGGTAGAGGACGTACTCATTGACACCCACGCATGGTATATACGGGTCGCATTGCTTTGTGACTGCCTAGGAAACGTGAATAGGTGATTAGGAAACTCTTTCCAGTCGTTAGACTTGTTTTGATTGTAAGTGTTGTTTATTTACTTTGCTATGAACCTGGTTCTCATAGGTCTTTTAGACAGGGCAACTCTGCTCGTACCCTACGGAGACAGAAAAAAACCTGTTTTCACTATGTCACATTCGACTTGTTGCGGTGATGACTCCATAAGAGAGGAATGTGTGCGTGACATTGATTGCTTGTGCTTTCCTCCCCTCCCCATCACTGACCACTAATTGCCATGGCTGACCAAGTTCACCCAGCGTCTTTGTTCGTTGGTGGTGACGGCCCTTTTTTCGTCTTGAGCCCCGCCGAAGTAAGCTTTTAT